ACAGATAAAAAGGGTGAGGGGACCGGCCCTGTGGGCAAGTGGTTAAGTTGGCACCCTCCGCTTTGGCGGCCCAGGGTTTCGCTGTTTTGGATCCTGGGCGTGGACATGGCACTGCTCATCAGGCCATGCTGAGGCGGCGTCCCCCATGCCACAACTAGAAGGACCTACAACTAAAAATATACAACTATGTACTGGAGGGCTTTGGGGAGAAAAAGGAAAAATAAAATATTTTTTAAAAAGATGAGAAATTCACAAAAGTCCTATAAATAGCCCATAAAGTCACTCAAACCTTAAAAACAAAGAATCAAGGTAGATTTTTCTTTAATAATATTAAACATAATCTGATTACAACACAACACTAATATATTTTAATTGCTGACAAAGTTAAAAACAAAGAAAAGCACATAGAAGAAACTAAAATCACTCAAAATTCCACCATCCTAATAAAAAACAGTTAACAATTTGGTGTATTTGTTCCCAGTGGGTTTTTTCTGCATATAAATGTATATTAATTTTAATAAAAGTGTATCATAAGCTATATATTGTTTGTAACCTATTTTTTTACTAAGAAAATATATTTTACCATGATGGAATATTTTACATAATTTTATTTATTTTAAAATGTCTGACAATTTTTGAGTAAGTCTTACATGCACATGTGACAGAATTCAAATGATATAAAAAGGTGTACAATGAAGTCAGCCAACTTCATACACCTCTTTCGTAGCAAGCCAGTTCCCCTTTCAGAGGGAGACTTTATTCCCAGTTTCTAATGGATCCATCTAAAAGCGTACTACACATTTACAAGCAAATACATATATACATGCATATACTTTTTTTAAAAAACACAAATAGCATACTGTACATGCTGTTCTCTACTTTGCTTTTTTTTTTTAATCTACCAATGAGTCTTGGAGATTCTTCCATATCAGCATGTAAAGATCTCTCTCATACTTTTTAACAACTGTGTAATTTATTGCAGGGATATGCCATAATTTATTTAACCAGGTCCCTATTGATGGACACTTAGGGTTGTCCTAATCATTTGCAATTACAAACAATTGAATGATCTTGTTTATATTTTGCATATGTGCAATATGTCTATAGGATTTGTTTTTAGAAGTGGAGGTCATAAGGTATATGCATTTAAAAATTTAGGAGCTAGTTGCAAATTGCCTTTCCTGGAGTTGGCCCCAGTTTATACATGCCCTCAGCAATGCAGTGCATCGTCAAACTACTTTATTTTGGCCACGTTGGTAGGTTAAAATGATATTTGTTAGTCTTAACATGCATTTTTCTTATTAACAAAGAGGTTGTGCATCAATTATAGCCATTATAATATCATTTTATGATAGCACTTATTGAGGTGTAATTTACATACAGTGAGTACACAGATCTTATACGAACAGCTCAATGAATTTTATAATGTATTTTGACCCCCATGTAACCACTACCCTGATTGAGATCTAGAACATTTCTGTTGTCCCTGGAAGCTCCCTTGTGCCCCTTTCCTGTCAATATCATCCCCCCAGGCAACCGCTGCTTTGACTTCCATCATATAGATAAGTTCTATCCATTCTTAACCTTCATGTAAAGGTGTAGTACAGTGTGTGCTCTTTATGCTTGAGTTCTTTCAGTTAACACGTTTTTGAGATTTATTGATGTTCTATTATGGCATTGTTTTAAAGAGCAGCAAAGAATAAAATATATGCACATGCCATAATTTAATCAATTCCTTATGGTTAGCTGGTCCCCAAAATGTTACTCCTTTCAGTTGTTTTCAATTTCTTGTTATTGTAAGCAGTGTGATAATAAACATTCTTGTAGCTAAATATTTGCTACAAATACTTCCATGGTATGAATTCGTAGAAGTAGAGTATCTGGATCAATGGCTATGAACAGTTCAAGGCTTTTGATTGTGTATTTCAGAATTGCCCCCATAAAAGTTGTACGGATATACTGTCCTACCAGAAAAGAACAAAGGTGCTCATTTCAAGAAATTATACCTCCTTGAACCCTCATCTATGCCGGGTATTACAATAAGTTTTTGTTTTCCGATTTGATAGGTAAAAAAATGATGTTACCATTTTAATTTCCTTGTCTTCTAAAATGTTGAACATCTTTATGTTTATTGAACATTTGTATTTCTTCTTCTGTTGTTTGTACCTAGCTCTTGTCCATTTTTTTGTTTAGTTTTGTCTTTTTGTTACTAATTTATGAGTTCTTTATGTACTAAGAACATTAATATCTTCATTGTAAAAACTTAAAATTTTCTTATTTAAAAATTGTGGCTTTTTTTTAAGATTGGCCCTGAGCTAACGTCTGTTGCCAATCTTCCTCTTTTTTTTTTTCCTCCCAAAGCCCCAGTACATAGTTAATATCCTAGTTGCAAGTCCTTCTAGTTCTTCCATGTGGGGCACCACCTCAGCATGGCTTGACAAGTGGTGCTAGGTCCACGCCCAGGAAACCCTGGGCCACTGAAGTGGAACACTTAATCACTACACCACTGGACTGGTCCCTGTATTTTCATTTTATAAAAGTTTAAAATCTAGATCCAAAAGAATGAAACCTGCCAATATCCCACTGTCCAAGGGTAACCACTATTAACATGTTTTTGTAGACAAGGTATATATATATATACCTTAATCTTATATATACCTCCCTGGGTTGCAAATATATGTATAATTTTTTTATAGAAATGGAATCATTCTTTATGTTATTTTTTTGGTTTTGGTTTTAAACTTCATACTATTTTAAAAACCGCCTTTTTGCTTAACGGTATTTTGTGCATACCTTGTCATGTTATTACATATTTTCTAAATAACATCACCTATAATATTTTCTTTTTTTAGTTTAGAAGCAATATGTTGTCATTGTAAAACATTTGAATGTCACAGAAAAAATGTGGTAAGTATCAGTCCCTGTCATTCTGCTCTGCAGTGATAACCACCATTAACAGTTCTGTGTATAGTCTTTCATATCTTTTTCTAAGACTATTCTATCCGTACACTTTTAAAAAAATATAATCACATTATGCACATTGTTTTTATTTTTTCACTTAATTGATCTTGGACACATCAATATGTGTAGACCGACCTTGCTTATTGAATTGGGGGTAGAATATAGAGGTATCATCACCAACATCTTCTTGATGTTCGAATTCTTTCTAGTTTTTCTTTAATACAAACTGCTTTAATACAAACATCCTTCTACACACATCTTTAGGTGCTTAAGCAAGTGTTATAAAATGAATTCCTAGCACTGGAGTCGCTGGTCCAGAGTACAAACAGGATGGACATTTAAATGTTTAATAGCATTATCCTCTAGAAGGACTCTTATCAGTTTACAGCATGCCCTGCGCCATAGAGAACGCCTGCACGACTTCCTTCTCTTCATGGATTCTGGTTTGTGGCTTGCAGGGGCTCTCACCCCAGAGGGACCAGATAAATAGTTCAGGTAGATTTTTTTCAATAAGCCAGGTTTTCAAATATTTTAAACATTAAAAAAAATTAGGGGGCTGGCCCGTGGCCGAGTGGTTAAGTTAGTGCGCTCTGCTTTGGTGGCCCAGGGTTTCACCTGTTCAAATCCTGGGCGTGGACATGGCACTGCTCATCAAGCCATGCTGAGGCGGCATCCCACATGCCACAACTAGAAGGACCCATAACTAAAAATACAAAACTATGTACCAGGGGGCTTTGGGGAGAAAAAGGAAAAATAAAATCTTTAAAAAAAAAAAAGTAGTTTTCCTTTATGCAAAGAAGTAAAAAGAAGGAAACAAAATAATGCACAATTGTGTCACTCTCTCTGACATTAAAAAATACAACATATAATACTTGTACATGGTTTAAAAATGTAAACAAAATGAAAAAGGAAAGCCTCTCTCCTAGTTTCTCTCCTCAAATTAAGCACTGTTAATACTTTTGTATAATTCCTTCTAGAAAAAAATTCTGTATATATTGATGTACTATTGTAAATATACCTAGAGCCATATCGCTAGCTCTAGCCAAGTCTTGTCACTGTCCTTAATTAGTTAAAACATGTTTCCGAAACTCTGGTGTCCATGGACCTAAAGGTTGACATTTCAGCTGGATAGGGATGGGCTCTGTGGTAAAACAGTTCAACAACTAAGTCATGGTCTCTTTATACTGAATGGCAGGAAAACATGACTAAGAACTTTGTCATTTATGATAGAGAACAAGCATAGTCTGATTTAATCTTAGCAGAAATCATCCCTTTAATATGATTAGATATCAAATATAGTCTTTATTTGACTCCCTGGGTTGCAAATTTCTTATATCTTTAGGTTTCTTGCCAGTACACGTGATTTACAATATATTAACTGAATTAAACAAAGTACTTGCGGGTTTGAGTGTTTTGCTTCACTGTTTCTCTTTGCTTAAAGCTGATTCCTTAAAAGGAGACCTATATTTCTGATTTCATGTATTCCTTTCACAACGAGAGAGCTTGTGTTATCTCCACAACAGCTCTTCTGCTTGGGATATGTATATTTCATTTACAAAATAGGGACCATTCTGTACATATGTCCCTAACTTCCCATCTTTCACTTACTACATCTTGAAGCTCTTTTCATATCAGGACGTATGGATCTATTGAGGAAGATATTTCTTAATTTAGAGGTAGATTTTTAATGCTAATGAATTGTTCTTCACTCTCCACAGCCTGTGGCCCTGTTGTCTTTGCCCATGTGGTTTCCCAGGAAGGGGGTCAGGGTGGTGGAGTGCTAAATCTTCACTCCAAGACTGAGAGCCCCTCATGCAATCCCACCGTGTGATGCTCCTCAGTGAAAACTCTCTACCCCATGGACACAACTCCCGGTGTCAGTACTAAATTTTGCTTCTCTCTCTCTGGTTTCCTTCACCCCCATGCAGATGGAGGGTTGAAGAACAGGTGCCTTCTCAGGCTGACAGAAGGGGGCTACAGTGTTTCTTCTCCCTCACACCCTACCTGCTGATGTCTGCCATCTTTTATTTCCACTCCAGGGGAAGCCGTATGTCTTTGACCGTGTATTCCCCCCAAACACGACTCAGGAGCAGGTTTATCATGCATGTGCCATGCAGATCGTCAAAGGTAATGGAGGTATTTTTAGAGTGTAATTTTTCAGGCTCCTCCTTCCCTATGCCACTTCTTTTCACCTGTGCTCTTTCTTCACCATCTCTTCCAGATGTCCTTGCTGGCTACAATGGCACCATTTTTGCTTATGGACAGACATCCTCAGGGAAAACACATACCATGGAGGTGAGGGTTCTGATTTCTATGCGGGGTGAGGAGCTGGGGGTGTTAATGGGAGGCCAGGGGCTTTCAGTGGGGGAAGATATGGGAATCAAGGGTTGCCTGGTTGAGAGGGTGAACCGAGGGGCAATGTTACAGTGGAAGTTTAGTGGAATCCCTTCTGCCAGCCGCAGTTTACCCTCCTTTCCACTACTCTGGTTTTCTTCTTTTGATCTGGAAAAGCAGCAGCAATAAAAGTCTAAAAGTCTACTCAGTTCTCTCCTTCCACTGAAAGGTAGTCATGGAGTGACCACCTCCTACCTTAGCTTGGTCTTCTTATCAACTGTTGCTCTGTGTGTACCTGCATACTGTGAGTTGTCCCATTCGTCCCAAGCTCCTGCCTCATTCTGGAATACCTTACTCCCCAGGGAAAGCTGCATGACCCCCAACTGATGGGAATCATTCCTCGAATTGCCCGAGACATCTTCAACCATATCTACTCCATGGATGAGAACCTCGAGTTCCACATCAAGGTGATGAGGGCATGACCACTGGGCATCCTCAGGTGGGCCTGGGAGAGGAATATCTAGTAGGAACCTACTGAGATCCTGGGCACCCCAACTTATTCTCCCCCTCTGGTTACCTCAGTTCTTCTCAGCCAGGGTATTCTCTTCTGCTTTTTCCCACCCACTCCCACCCCATTTGAGTGGTCACGTTAGCTTGAGATCCCTGTATCAGATTTAAGATACGCCCCCTTCACATTCTATTCCTCCTTTCTCCCCAACCAGGTTTCTTACTTTGAGATTTACCTGGACAAAATTCGTGACCTTCTGGATGGTAAGTGATGTTTAACCCCAGTGGGTGGGTGGGGGTGTGAGGAGGGAAAGGAGAAGAAAGATCACATTGCCCTTGGGATTAGGTACTATCGGGGAGGAGATGCAGAGAACACATGCACTCATACCTGTGTCCCTTACCTCCACTCACCAAGAAATTCCAAAAACTGGAAAGGTCAGAAGATGAGCTTAGATGCCCAGGCCTGCATATAAACAGCCTGAGATGAGCTGGAACCCTGGAGCTGGCATCCTGGAGGAGGAGAACCTGAGTTTTCAGTGTGTGCAGGCGACTTAGCTTCACAGGGGAGTTTTCCTCCCTTCTGGACATAGAAGAAACCACCATCTGAGCAGACTACAGAGTGTGGGGGTTGGGGAGATAGGGGGTGGCAGTGCTGGCCTTGCTCACTCTGTGTTGTCTTGATTCAGTGACCAAGACAAATCTGTCTGTGCACGAGGACAAGAACCGGGTGCCATTTGTCAAGGTGAGAGTGGGGATGGGGGCACCTGGGTTGGGCCAGTGTATTGAGAGTGTGGGTCTGGGAGGAGGATAGACCAGCGACCCAGAAGTTAGAGGGTGGATATTCTGGAGTAGTGAGTTGTGCAAGGGGCTGGGGAGAGGCTGAGGCTTGGGACAGACACTGTCTTGAAAGGTCGTTTGGTCATTGTGCCGGTAATTTAATTTGCAGGTCAAAGTTTATGGGTCACTGTTTGTTTGTCCCCTGCAGGGTTGTACTGAACGCTTTGTGTCCAGCCCTGAGGAGATTTTAGATGTGATTGATGAGGGGAAATCGAATCGTCATGTGGCTGTCACCAGTGAGTGGGGATATAAAGGGCTCTTGGGTTGGCGGTCTGCCTCTCCTCTGTGCCCTCTGGGGCTGAGGGACTTGAAAGTGAGCAAGGGAAGACTGTGTCCTCCAGAGGAGCCTGGGAGCTGTAGTGGCAGGGCTGGTCCTGGCGGGCACCGTCTCTCAGTGGGTGGGATGACAGACAGTGGAAGCTGGGAGCTGAGGGGTTGGCACAGGGACTGTTTCTCCCTTGCTCCTACAGACATGAATGAACACAGCTCTCGAAGCCACAGCATCTTCCTCATCAACATCAAGCAGGAGAATATGGAGACTGAGCAGAAGCTCAGTGGGAAGCTGTACCTAGTGGACCTGGCAGGGAGTGAGAAGGTGGGGCAGGAGGCCTTTGGGGGTGGGGTGGATAGGGAAGGAAGCCTTGGGGGGGGGTGGACTTTTTAAAAATCAAAGTAATGTTTTTATTGAGTATAATTCACATACCATAAAGTTCACCATTTTAAAGTGTACAAATCAGTGGTTTTTAGTGTGTTTGCAAGATTGTGCAGTCATCACCACTAATTCCAGAACATGTTCATCACCCGTTAATGGTCACTCCCTATTCTCCCCTCCCCCATTCCCTAGCACCCACTATTGTACTTTCTGATTCTGTGGATTTGCCTTTCCTGGACATTGCATATCAATGGAAACATATAATATGTGGGTGGTGGGGGCGGGTGGCCTTTGGCAAGAGTTTTGGGGAACAGAGGAAGGGCCTTCTCTGACGTCTTTCCCTGTCCCCTCCCCTCCTTGGACTGAGCCCCCTATGTGGAGAAGAGGTGTTGAGAGCTTTGTCCCTTTGCAGCTGCTCTTGACACACTTGTCCCTTCATGCCCTGGTAGGTCAGCAAGACTGGAGCAGAGGGAGCCGTGCTGGACGAGGCAAAGAATATCAACAAGTCCCTGTCAGCCCTGGGGAATGTGATCTCCGCACTGGCCGAGGGCACTGTGGGTGTTCCTGGGGTCCCCTCACCCCTCAAGCTCCACCCCATTTTCTACCTTCTCCTGATACCCCTATCTAATCGTGCCCGATTCGTGGTTGCTCGATCCCTAGGCAGCACCCCTCTCCTTTCTGATTCTCCTGTTGAATTCATTTTTCTGATTCATGGTCTCCCTCCTCCCCCAGAAAACCTACGTCCCATATCGTGACAGCAAAATGACCCGGATTCTCCAGGACTCCCTGGGAGGAAACTGCCGGACCACTATGTTCATCTGTTGCTCACCATCCAGCTACAACGATGCAGAGACCAAGTCCACCCTGATGTTTGGGCAGCGGTCAGTGGCAGGATCCCTGGCTCCCTGCCCAGCCCCTGCCACTCCTTCCCCTTGGCATCACGTAAGCCTTAACATAGGTCTCATCTCTCTGTTCTCACCCAGGGCAAAGACCATTAAGAACACTGCCTCAGTGAATCTGGAGTTGACTGCCGAACAGTGGAAGAAGAAATATGAGAAGGAAAAGGAGAAGACGAAGGCTCAGAAGGAGACTATCGCAAAGCTGGAGGCTGAGCTGAGCCGGTGGCGCAACGGTTAGAGAGGGGTCCTGTGGGCGTGAGAGGTGGTGGGAGGAGGAGGAGGCTGAGGGAGCCGGAGAGGGCCTGTCCGGGGTGGTGTTTAAGAGCAGGCTGATCTCTAAGGAGGGCTGTGTTTCTGGAGGGGTGCAGGAGAGCAGTCATGAGGGGAGGGGAGAGGGCGCTGACTACCCTTATGCCATCCCCTAAAAACATTGAAGGTGCACTTGGCAAGAGAGATGGAGGCCTGGAGGTCTTGGTCTTGAGGCGTGAGGGAGGAAGGGCTCGTGGGTGCAGCTCTTTTCTCCCATCCCTCACCTTGTTCTGCCCCTTTGCCAGGAGAGAATGTGCCTGAGACTGAGCGCCTGGCCGGGGAGGATGCAACCCTGGGAGCCGAGCTCTGTGAGGAGACACCTGTGAATGACAACTCATCCATCGTGGTGCGCATCGCGCCCGAGGAGCGGCAGAAATATGAGGAGGAGATCCGCCGCCTCTACAAGCAGCTTGACGACAAGGTGAGGATAGTCAGGCAGGGCTCAGAGGTGAGCCCGGCGGGAGAAGTGAGGGATTCAAGAATTAGCTTACACTGCCTTTTTCTGATTTTAAAAGGGGTAAATGCTCATTATTGAAAATGTGGAAGATAAATAAAAATATACAGAAGGAAATTTGAATCATCCATCATCCAACTGTTCAGAAATATCACATTAGTATTTTACTTTTCTTCATGCATGTACCATGCAGTTGAGATACACTCTATGGGCAACTTTGTGTCTGATTTTTTTCATTCTGCATTATATAATGAACAGTTTCCTTTTCTGTTAACAATTCTTCATAAAAGTATTTTTAAATGGCTGCCTAATAGTCCATTTATCAAAGTGTATTTAACCGTTTATTTATTACAGGGCTTCTAGTTTTTTTGGTTTTGGTCGTCTGTTTTGCTATTATAAATAACTCTGAAATGACTATCTTTGCCTCCTGTGCATAGGATTTTGCTCTTGAATTTGATTAGAATGGAGCACTAGAGTGGGAGTTCTAGGTTAAAGCATATGAACATTTACAGGCTTTTGCTGTGTATTGTCAAGGTTATACCAACTTCCAGCAAGAAAGGAATTTAAAACGGAGGGTAGGAGTCCCGGAAGGAAGTGGAGAAGACCTCTTCTTAGGATGTGGGGTTTCTAACTCAAAGCCTAAACCATCTGGATTTTTATCAGGGTCCTACCTCTACCCCAACCCCATAAGTCCAGACTGGAAGGAGCAGCTTCCTTCACTCCGTCTTTCCCCCTTGTCTCCAACAGGATGATGAGATCAACCAGCAGAGCCAGCTCATAGAGAAGCTCAAGCAGCAAATGCTGGACCAGGAAGAGGTAATGGGGAGGAGGGCAGGACATGAGAGGAGAGGCATGTGTGCTCACCCCCGGAAGGCAGAAAAAAGACCTTTTTTCATAATCAGATGGAAGAAAGGGCATTCTGCTTAGGGGCTAGTCACTCCCCAAAACTCTGGAAGTCTAGGGACCTCATTGGGGCTTTGCTTAAAGCACAGATTTTGGAATCTAGGTGCTTCTTCGTTCTGTGGCCCTATTTCTAAGACGCATAAAGCCCACTTCTTCTTGACTCTTGCTTTGGCCCTGCGTCTCTCCTAGACCTATGCCTGGGAGGGGGGCTTGGCTTCCCCAGACCAAGGGGCCACAGAAGTCACTGGCAGCAGAGTCCCTCACGTGCCTTGCCCCTCCCTTGAAGCTGCTGGTGTCCACCCGAGGAGACAATGAGAAGGTCCAGCGGGAGCTGAGCCACCTGCAGTCGGAGAACGATGCTGCAAAGGATGAGGTGAAGGAAGTGCTGCAGGCCCTGGAGGAGCTGGCCGTGAACTATGACCAGAAGTCCCAGGAGGTGGAGGAAAAGAGCCAGCAGAACCAGCTTCTGGTGGATGAGCTGTCTCAGAAGGTGGTGAGTGGTCCATGAGCTCCCTGGCCTCAGAACATCCTCCACATCCAAAGGGACCTCTGCTTCCTGCCAGGGCTGCATCTCATTCGCACCTTTGCACTGCTGTTTGGTGTGTTATGAGAGCCTCCCCAACTCTGTCACTGCCCTTTGCCCTCCGGACCCCTCTCTCTTCCAGAACCTTCTGCAGAGCCTGTGTTCTCTTTGTAGCAGCCCTCAGGGTCATGCATGAAGGGAGAGCTTCTGCCTGGGCTGGGGAGGCGAGCAGGAAGATGGCAATGGGGTGACCTGAGGGGCTATCCCCAGGCCACCATGCTGTCCCTGGAGTCTGAGTTGCAGCGGCTACAGGAGGTCAGTGGACACCAGCGAAAACGAATCGCTGAGGTGCTGAACGGGCTGATGAAGGACCTGAGTGAGTTCAGTGTCATCGTGGGCAACGGGGAGATTAAGCTGGTGAGTGGAGAAAGAGGCAGCTGCCTTGTTCAGGTCATTCTGGTTCTGGGCCCTGGTGGGAGATGCAAGGTGGGCCAATCTGGGCCCTGAAGCCTACTGAGAAAAGTAGCCCAAAGATCCAGGAAACAGACCCTCAAACTAGACACAGGAAAACAAGTAGAAGTTTGTATAGACTCAACTGAAAATACACATTCTCAAGGGTGCTGGCTAAAGAAGCAGTGGAGGTGTGCTTACGACAGGATTTAGAGATGGGATGCAGAGGTAGGAGTGACAGATGAAATCTGTGGCAGTGACGGTGACCCATTGGGGTGATCAAGCAGAAGAGTTTGACTACAAAAGTAAGTCATATTACTTTATAAGATGGAAGAGGGTGACTTTTGGAATTGGATCTTTAAGTGCAGATAGAATTTAGTGTGAAATGCCAGGTGATAGAGAGCTGCTAAAAGTAGTTCGGAGAACACCTGTTCCACCTGAGTCCCTGTGCATGTGGTGTGTGTGGGGATAGGCATAATGGAAGGGTGTGGATAACAGGCTTCCTGGCAGCAGAGTGGGACCTCTCCCCTCTCTTGGCCCCACAGCCGGTGGAGATCAGCGGGGCCATCGAGGAGGAGTTCACCGTGGCCCGACTTTACATCAGCAAAATCAAATCAGAAGTCAAGTCTGTGGTCAAGCGGTGCCGGCAGCTGGAGAACCTGCAGGTTGAATGTCATCGCAAGATGGAAGTGACTGGGCGGGAGCTCTCGTCCTGCCAGCTCCTCATCTCCCAGGTGAGTGCCAGGGTTGAGAGCCTTTGGGGGCTGAGGGAGAAAGAGGGCCACTCTGTGGTTCTGGGATAAAACTCTTAGCACCCACATTTATGTCAAGGGCCTACGGTCAATTGAAGTCAAGGACAGAAGAGCTTGGGGTAGCAGAGGCAGGTCCAGATCGCAGAAGTGAAGGTTCAGGGAGATCCTGGCCTCTGAGCCAAGAGGGTCTAAAGAAGGGTCTCCAGGGAATGGCCCCCAACCCTGCACTCTCCCAAGGGCACAGTGAGGGGGGAGGGCCGGGGAGGAGAGTTGGAGTTTACAGAATCTGTGCTGCCCGGAGTGGTATCCTTTGCTCCATCTGTCTTCTTCCTCTCACCAACCCCTCCCCCACCAGCACGAGGCCAAGATCCGCTCGCTCACGGAATACATGCAGAGTGTGGAGCTGAAGAAGCGGCACCTGGAAGAGTCCTATGACTCCCTGAGTGATGAGCTGGCCAAGCTCCAGGCCCAGGGTGAGGCCTTCTGAAACCTCCAACCCACCCATCCTTGGCTCTGAGATCCCAGAGAGGGCAGGGAGGGAAAATGACAAATGTCAGAGAAACCGCCGGACAGCACATGCACCCAAAGCTTTAGACTGAAATCATGGAGGCCAGCGCACAGGCTATTTAGCAAGCTTTTGCATGGATCTTGTTTTACATGAACCACAAACTGTCTGTTGGTCTCTGTCCCTGTTACATCAAATTGGACTGTCCTGACCCAGAAGAACGTCCCTATAGGCCTGCTCTGGGTAGATGTCCCCTGCCCTTCCTGGGGCTCTGGTCACAGTGTGAAGCTCTTTCCGGAGGCGGTAGGTGTGATGTAAGCTATCTTCCTCTCTTTCCCTCAGAAACTGTGAGTGAAGTGGCCCTGAAGGACAAGGAACCAGACACACAAGATACAGACGAAGTAAAGGCGAGTGGGGAGGGTGCGGTGACAACTGGGGCCCGGCCCGAGCTGATGTCTGGGAGCCTGGCTTTGAGCTTGGGGTGGGCTTGTTTGCAGAAGGTCCTGGAGGTGCAGATGGAAAGTCACCGGGAGGCCCATCACCGTCAGCTGGCTCGGCTCCGGGACGAGATCAATGAGAAGCAGAAGACCATTGATGAGCTCAAAGAGTAAGAGCTCCCAAGGGCAGCTCCACCCTCCTCCCGGCCCTCTCACCTTGCTGTGCCGACTCAGATGTTCCCTCTTGGGCCAGGATCCTGTTCTTGAAATTGCATGTGTCATTCCCCACCAAATGACACAACTTTGCAGCCCAACTCCAGGTGCAAGGAGTAAGGACTAGTCCCAATCTTGAGGCTCTATGATTAGATAGCTCAGGGTCCTTACTCTGTCCTGGAAGCATGGCCTGAGTCTGCCTCTGATGCTGAAGGTAGATGCTTCAGTCCTGACCGGACTCACTTGTACAAGAAGGAAAATGTTTGAGGAGCTGCTCTTCCCTTTCCCATCGTTAACATCTTTTTGTTCTCTCCATATCTCCGTGCCCTCTGTAGCCTGAATCAGAAGCTCCAGTTGGAGCTAGAGAAACTTCAGGCTGACTACGAGAAGCTGAAGAATGAAGAGCATGAGAAGAGCACCAAACTCCAGGAGCTGACGTGAGTGAAGGGTCTGCCCGCAGAACCGGGGCCATGGGCTCAGATGCTACTCAGACTTGCCTGCAGAGGCAGCATGCACTGTGGATGTGAACCTAGGGACCACAGGAGGCGAGGCCTCAGAAGAATAATTTGATGGGGAGTGGGGACCTTTTAGAATTGACCTCTGTTGAATATTAGCTGACATGTAAAGATGTTTGTGATGTTCTGTTAAGTGTAAAAAGCAGGTTATAAAACAGTGTGAATGGTGTGCTCCCATAAAATTTATGTGAGGTGTACGTGCATCAAAGAGAGCCTAGGATGATGGACAGAAGAGTGTTCATGGTGGCTTGATCTATAAGTAGTAGGATCATGGGCTTTTTTATGAAACTCGTCTTCCTCATCTTTTTTTCTTCTAATTCTTGCACAATGAACATGGGTAACTCATATGATAAATAATAATAAAATACAGATCAAAGGAATGGAGGAGGGAAGAGAGAGGGAGGAAGGATAGTCCTGAGGGCTTCTTCTGTTTCCCTCTTCCTCCAGATTTCTGTACGAGCGACACGAGCAGTCCAAGCAGGACCTCAAGGGTCTGGAGGAGACAGTTGTGAGTGGTTTCCTTCTGTGCCAAGTTAATGGGGTGGAGGGGGGTTCCTTTCTTCCTTCCGGTTTCTTCCTAACCCCATTCCTCCTGCCCTTCTGCAAAGTCAGTCTGTGGCATAATCTGGACACATCTTTCCCTAAAGGATGAGTGACTCACTTGATTAGATAGACTGAAGCTTCCAGTAATTTCAAAGCAAGAAGGTTGACCTGGTAGTTGGCTACCCTAATTTTTTATCATTCTTTCCAGGCCCGGGAACTCCAGACCCTCCACAACCTTCGCAAACTGTTCGTTCAAGACGTCACGACTCGAGTCAAGAAAGTGAGTGCTACCCTTGGTCTCCTCCTGTCCTCAGGTTTCTCCAACCCCTGTGGCCTCCAGTGGGGCTGGCTTGGCCTGCTCTGGGGGGGACCTGTTTGGCCTCGGGACGGCCACACATTTCCCCCTCTCTCCAATCAGAGTGCAGAAATGGAGCCCGAGGACAGTGGGGGGATTCACTCCCAAAAGCAGAAGATTTCCTTTCTTGAGAACAACCTGGAACAGCTTACAAAGGTTCACAAACAGGTGAGAGCAGGGGAAGGAGTGAAGGGAACGCTTGAGGCTTGGTGCCTAGGGTCCCCGAATCCTTGGAGGCCCGTGGATTTAGGAAAATCTCCTTGTGTGTTCTCCTTCCTTTTCCTGCTAATCCCTTCTTTATACCCCGTTTGGTTCCACTTTTACCTTGTTCTTTGTTCCATGCCTGCTGTCCCTTCTCGAAGCTCCCAACCTGCTTCTGTTCTAAGTAAAGTTCCCCAGGCCTATGGTGTTGGAGGGAGAGGTTGAAACTGAGGGAGGTTGCAGAGGCCTGGGACTTTAACTATACATGGGGGATGCTGGTCAGACTTTAGCCAGAGGCAGGAAGGAGTGAGACAAGAAGTCAGGGAAGCTGGGCTTTCTCTCAGAGAGAGAACTCCATCTGCCTAGGCCTGGGGCAGGTGTGCAGAGAAATTAAATGATGGCCTCCAGATGGCCCCATGAGCCCCGGTCGGGGCCAGTCAAAGCTGCTGTGCATTAAGTTGCTGCCTCTCTGGCCCCCTCCTTGCTGCTGTGGCTCCTTAGGTGGATGACTGGCTTTCAAAGGTATGGGGATGGGGGTGGGGGGGGGGTGTTAGAAGGGGCAGTCCAAAGGAGTCAGGACAGGAAATGTTTGGCGCCCACGGAGCAGGAGCACCCTTGCTAGCACCAAATACCTGAGCCTTGAAGACAAGTGCAACAGTCTGTCAACTGGCTCTTTTCACTGATTCATAAAATGAACCCCAGTCTATACTTCATTTCCTTTCTTTAAAATCCACCTTAAAATTTGATTTAAAGTCACATTCTTACTAAACAGGAGCTTAAATTTCTTCCCCCTGCCCCCCCCCCCCCCCCCCCCCCCCCCCCCCCCCCAGTGCAATGCCCAGCTGTATAGTAAATATTTGGTACATGTTTTTTTTTCCTTCTTTTTAAATAATGAAAAAAGAATCCCAGCACTGTGGCCCAGTGATAGTCTGCAGGGTTTCTTTCTTTCATTTTGGCCTGCAGAGGGCTTTACTACCATATTTTCCCCTTTGCCTGTTATAAAACAGTGTAACAGTGTAACAACATTACATAAAAATTGAAAGGCAGGGCAGAAACATTTGTAATCAGTTCTGCCATTCTATTTTCATTTGTGTGTTCACTTTCCTTCTCTGTGCAAATGCTGTCCAATTATATTGCTTTTTCTCCCCCCATTCTTTTAAATTTTTTTTTAAAGATTTTATTTTTTCCTTTTTCTCCCCAAAGCCCCCCAGTACATAGTTGTATATTCTTCATTGTGGGTCCTTCTAGTTGTGGCATGTGGGACGCTGCCTCAGCGTGGTTTGATGAGCAGTGCCATGTCCGCGCCCAGGATTCGAACCAACGAAACACTGGGCCGCCTGCAGCGGAGCGTGCAAACTTAACCACTCGGCCATGGGGGCAGCCCCCCCCCCCCATTTTTTTTATTGTGGTAAAATGCACATAACATAAAGTTTACCACCGTAATGATTTTTAAGTGTGCAGTTCAGTGGTATTAAATACATTCATAATGGTGTACAACCATCACTGCCATCCATCCCCATAACTCTCTTCATCTTGTAAAACTGAAACTCTGTCCCCATTAAACAATAACTCCTCGTCCCCCCTCCCCCCAGCCCCTGGCAGCCACCATTCTACTCTCTGTCTCTGTGATTTTAAGTCCTCGAAGGACGTCATATGAGTGGACTCGTACAGGAATTGTCCACACATAACTGGCTTATTTCACTTAGCACAGTGTCCTCCAGGTTCATCCACATTGTGGCACGTGGCAGGAAACCTCCGGCTGTTTCCTTGTCCCTCACTGAAGCCCCTGCCTCTGCTCTAAGTCTCAGAGACCAAAACTACTCACCTATAGGAGAGAGGACTCCTCGTAATCACCTACCTCAGCAGACACAAGACTACAAAGGAAAACCAGAGAGATGTAGAAACTTCTCAGTTACCAGAATCTTAAATAGCCAGGGCTACAGCCCTGCTACAAATTAAGCTAAGCTGTTGGCACAGTGAAACATTGTCTATAATCTGTAAATTGTCCAAAGTTAAAGGGGCACAGAAATGTTTCTGGTTCTGCCCCTTCCTCCCAGTGTTCCCCGTGACGCCAGTTTAGCTGACAGCTTCCAAGGCTGCTCCTTTGCAATCTGTGTTGCCCAGCCACGGTGGAACCCTGTAATAAGATTAGAAAGTGTTTTCTGGCCACCGTAGCTTAATTTAAAGGGGTTGGGCAGCCCAAGAAATCCTTGAGTGTGAGGTAATGAGCATAAAGGTTTGTGAGACTTGAAACATTTTCTTTCCTTCCTATGGGGTGCTGTGTGTATGTGTGTGGGTGGGGGGCACGGGTGCTCCTGTATTCCCGCTTCTGCTCCTGCTCCACGCTGCACCCAACCTGCACTCAGTGCCATATCCACCCCCCACTGCTACTGTGCTCCTGCTGCCCACCCTGCACATGCCCACAGAGCCATCTCTGGGTGAGGGGTGCCTCATCCTGCTGGTTGCTGTGGGGCTGTTGGTCTGGCATAAGCTGTGAGATATTGCGGTGGGGGCAGTCTAGGCCAGGAGGTGACTGGCACAGGGCGCTGTCACAAGAGTTCTGGGCTATGGTGGAGATGGTACATTTTGCTGCCCAGAAAATGATGTAACTTTTACTGCTTGGCCACTGTTTGCTCAGGGAGAAGGAAAGAACTGGCTAACACAGCACATGACGTAAAGAGAATGAGGTCTTTGGAGGAACAGTGTGGTCTCCATCTTCTCTGACTTGGTTTCTCTTTATTCTCTCTTCCCACCGTGCCTCCGCACTCCACTGCTACCTCTCTCTTTGGTCACTGCCTTTCTTCCCACCTCTTCCCTCCGGCTCACCCCATAGCTGGTACGTGACAATGCAGATCTGCGTTGTGAGCTTCCTAAATTGGAAAAACGACTTAGGGCTACGGCTGAGAGAGTTAAGGCCCTGGAGGGTGCACTGAAGGAGGCCAAGGAGGGCGCCATGAAGGACAAGCGCCGGTACCAGCAGGAGGTGGACCGCATCAAGGAGGCCGTTCGGTACAAGAGCTCCGGCAAGCGCGGCCATTCCGCCCAGATTGGTGAGTGGGGAGGGGGTGGCAGCAGGCCAGTGGGATTACCACCTGGGGACATTCAACAAATTCCTAAGAGTCAAGCAACTAGATTATTGCTTCTTACTCTACCCCTCCCCCCCAGCCTCACCCCCTCATTGCCCCAAAACAGAATTATCTTATAAGCAACTCAGTTCAATTCCAACTGAAAGACCCCAGGGACCAGGGCGCTGCAGGGTGATGAATAGCCTCCTCATGGTCATTTCCCATGCTTTACCACAGCCAAACCTGTCCGGCCTGGCCACTACCCGGCGTCTTCACCCACCAACCCCTATGGCACCCGGAGCCCTGAGTGCATCAGTTACACCAACAGCCTCTTCCAGAATTACCAGAATTTGTACCTGCAGGCCGCACCTAGCTCCACCTCAGATATGTAGTGAGTGACCACGGGCCTGGTCTGGAGTCCCAGCCCAAGGCTCTCTGCACCCTATAAGGCATAAAGTTGGGTCAGTTATTGGGTGAATTTTCCTAAATGGCTTATTTCTAACCTTTCTCAACTTCACACCTATGATTAGAAGGTGGGCTTCTGCCCTCCTGGCCTGCGGCCATGTTTGTTGTCTTCTGGGGATGGGAGGGGTGTATGGCTCCATCCCTGAGCCGGGGTGTGGATTCGTGGTCCTCAGAATGGTGGAGGATGGGTGCCAGAGGCTGAGTCTCTCTCCTCTGCTTCATTCAGCTTTGCAAACTCCTGTACCAGCAGTGGGGCCACATCTTCTGGTGGCCCCTTGGCATCCTACCAGAAGGCCAACATGGACAATGGTGAGTGAAAAAGATGGGTAACCAGCTTTTGGGATCCCCATGGCAAGCTGAAAAGTATAAGAAAAGTAAGTGACCCGGTACCTGCAGCTTGAACACTGCCCATCCCTTCAGGGTCTTGGGCTCTGAGGAGTGGATTCCTCCTATTACCAGTCCTGTCCTCTCCCTCCCTTCCTTTCCCTTCCTCCTCTCCTTCCTGAAGGCTCAGAGGGGCTTTTTCTCAAACAAAATAACAATGCAGCTTGGGGTAGTTGATGATAAAGTGCCACAGACCCAGATGGCAGCGATACTCCAAAGAATCTCCCCTTTTTCTCTCAGGGATTAGGATGAGAGAGGGTTTGGGAGACTGTTGCTAATACCTAATCTCCTTTTTTCTCTTCTAATCCTGTGTTCTCCACCGTGATCTCTTCAGGAAATGCCACAGATATCAACGACAATAGGTACACCAATCCCCACTGCCCTTGGGTTCTCTAGGAGGGACCAGCAGAAATGATTAAATGTGCCCCATGCTCTACTTAGAGGTTCCCGGTACCTTTGGGGAAGGAGAACCATTCTTGCCAGCACTGTGTTGTCCCAAGATGCACTCGCTCCCCTGCCTCGTGCAGAACACCATCCCCTCCTCCCATCCCATCCACGGTTTCTCCCATTCCAGTTATGGGGACTGGACATCTGGTGACCCGGGTTTCTCTCCTATCTTTGGGAACTTTGTGACCTTGGGCAAGTCAGTTCCATCTCTCTGGCCTTGATTTTCCATGCATTCCTAGAGAACCCGAATAGTCCCTGCCCCTTGTCATCTCCCAGGGAGGCAATGAGAGTGAAGTGACCAGAATGCTTTCATTTATGATTGTGCTGGGCCTCTTCTTCTAGGAGTGACCTGCCGTGCGGCTATGAGGCTGAGGACCAGGCCAAGGTTTTCCCTCTCCACCAAGAGACGGCAGCCAGCTAATCTCCCCTGTGGACTGCCACGTACCTGCACTTTCAGGTAGCTTCGGCTGCTTGCTCTGACCAGCCTCAGGTGGCCTCCTTTCTTGCCCTCAGCCTCTTTGTTTCTCCCGCTTTTTAAAATCATCTCAAAACTTTTACTATATAGCTGTCCCTCAACTCCTGCTTCCCTGTCCTAGGGGGACATCTGTGCTGCCCCTTGTGCTCTGGACATTGACCTCCCCTCCCCACTGATGCTTTCCCTTTGGCCATAGTAGTAACCACAGTACTGCCTTTCTGCCACTAGGGGTCACTGCCACATGTCAAAAGAAGCCAGCCAGGGCGGTGTCCGTCCAGAGCCACACACAGGTCATAGGACCCCATAGATGTTAGGAGAGCTTGGGAAATCATCTCAACCCTCCCCCTGACTCCACCCTAAAATACTTTTGGATGGAAAGGTATCTTCTGAACTAGGACATCTCCAGTCAAGATGTTTGATTTACTCCCGCGCCTGTGTCCTGTACTCCTCTTGTTTGTATGTGTCACCAATAAGCTTTAGGAAATACCCCGGGAAGTCTAACTTTTTGTTTGTCTAGCTGTAGTGTCAGCACTCCCCTCCCATCTTGCTCAGCGGAGGTGGGAACAGCTGCTTCCCCACTCCAAGCCCCCCTTCTCCACCTCTGTCCCCAGGTCCTCTCCTCCAGCAGCACAGGCAGCTTCTTGGTTCTCGTGTGTCACCAGGCTTCGCACCATGCTTCCTTTAGGGCCCAGAACTGGGCACTGGGATCCTGTTTTATTGTCCACTTTGGGTCCCTGGAGAACTAGAAACAAGAGAACATGGCCAGTCTCTTACTGGGCGGCATCCAAGCAGAGCCCTCTCCAGGGGTTTTCCAGAATAGTAGGCCGGGCGCACACAGGCAGAGTGTGAGAGGCGAAGAAGTCGGAATGGGGAAGGAAGGGTTAGGGCAGGTCTGGAGAGAGGAGCAGGGCCTGGGGGTCTGGTGTCTGGTTGCTGGTATTAAAGGAACAGGACTGTAAACCAAAGTTTGTACAAATGCCACCCTTTTCCTGTTTGGTGGCTGGGCTGCAAGGCAGTTCCTCACTACCTCTTTCTCTTTCTTTCCCAGTTTCTAAGAGGGACTGAGGCCTCTTCTCTCAGCATGCTGCAAACCTGTGGTCTCTGATACTAACTCCCTCCCTGCCCTGTTGTTCGACTGTACCGCGTTTGACGTCTTCTCTTCCTCTGTACCTCTTTGTACTCTGTATCGATATATCAAAAGCTGCTGCTATGTCTGTCTGTCCTCTCTGTCTTATCTCTAGTATCTAAGGATGTATTTAGCGATTCTAAGCATAGTACACCCTCCTTATTTGGGGCAATAGGAGGAGGGTGAATGTTTCTTCTTTCTTTCATACATGCGTCTCTCACACTGAGTGGTGTCAGTCACGGAGATGATAAAAGGAAAAACAGGAGCTAGAGGGCTGTGATCCTTCACACACTCACACGCACGCACACGCACGCACACACACCAAGCCTTAAGCCGAAGAATGTCGTAGCATCATAAGATACAGAGATAGACTCCTCCTCCTCTTGCACATATAGCACAGGGCAAGGTAAGATGGAAGGACTGCTCAATCAGACGTAGAATTTTCTTCATACACCCCTCACTTGAACCAAGGGATTCTGGGTGTGCACCTCTGCCCTCTGACGTCTGCCTTTTGCCTCCCTCTTCCCGTTCCCCTGGACAACCAAGAACGTGGATTGCTCAATGGGATTTCTCCTCAAAATTACTTGTGATATTCTCCACCCCAAAGCTCATGACCAGAATCCAGAGTTGCTTAAAAATATTTTGCAAAGTTGAGGAGGCAGATTCTTCCCGACAGGCTGTCAAATGGTTACTCATCCGTCCATGGGGTTAGTTATAGGCGAGTGTAGTTGACGTGATTGCGTCTTAGGCTTTGGGGAGTGAACAGGCTGAGAAGTTCCTAAGGATTTTTTGCCACATTGATGAGCTGAATTCCTTTCTCTGTCCCATATTGGGCTGCATGTTTCCCCCATCTGAATTTTTTGGTTTGGGGGCTTCCAGTTCTTCCTTTCAAGATGGAGCCTGACTTTTCTCCAATATACATTAAAAAATTTTTTTTCACAAAGATTTCCTTCTACAATGTCCCCTTCTGGTATTAAGTGCACTTTAAAGAAAGGGGCAGGGCAGATTTTCCAGAAGTGGAGGAGCCCAAGGGCTTGACCTGGGGCTCTTCCTGCCCTCTCCAGCCCCATGTAATTGGGAGGAATATTGTTTGGGTTTCCGACATCCTTTCCTTCCACATGGTGCTAAGGTGGCTTTCCAGGTAACTGCAGGGGTGGAGAGTGGAGGTCACAAGTTGGTCCAAACCAAGAAAGTAAGTCTGGTGTCCAGATACCCAATCTTATCCAGGATGAAAGAACAGGGCAGCAGGGCAGCCCATCACCTAGCTTCTCAGTCGGGACAGAAAGCTCAGTGTGAGTGCCAGCTGGTGTTGGCCCATGACTTCTTCAAGAGAAGAAGTCCCTTCTCCCTTTACCTGTTGGGCCCCTTTTACCAATTAAGGAGAAATGCAGGGAAAAAAATACCAGAGGGGTGTGGAATAAATCCAAGGTGGTGACAGTCAAACATTTTTCAAAAGAAATCTTATATAGAACCCTGATATAAAAAGTACCTAAACGTGATGCAGACCTGGGCAGTTTGCACTTTCTTTATTTGGCAGAAAATGCTTCATTCATTGAGGAGCCCTTGAACACTCTAAGAGACCCTGAGGGTTCTGTAGAAGAGTTTGGAAACCAGTGTTCTGAGGAAAGGGGTTCAACCTTGCTCCCCTGCCCCAAGCCCACAACTCACAGCAAAGAGGGACAGGGCGGGGACGATGAGCCACGCTGTCTCCAGACCCAGTCGGAGAAGAAGGAAGACACCTGTGCACCTGTAGACTTGGGCTAATATTTGCCAGCAGGGCACCTACAAATCCAGCGGGCTTTATGCAATCTTGCCACCAAGTGATTCTTTTAAAACACATAAGAATGTGAAGGTGCAGGGCAAATGAGGAGAGAGGTGACAGAGGGAGCGGCCTTCCCTTGAGCAAAATGTAAGGGAAATAGAATTCACTTACATAAATAAGAAACAACACGATACACACAAAGCCTTCACCAGAAGCTTCACTCTACAGCCTCCTCCTCCTCGTCCTCCTCCCCCCACCCCTCACCACATCCCTTTCAGAGAGCCAGGGTCACCACCAGGGGCACCTGGCCTGCCCACTCACATCTGCCAAAATGTTGCATGCCAGCGTGGAAGACAGACCAAACCGCACAACCCCCAGTGTGTATTTATTTGATGTACATAGATATGTTTAAAATAAAATAAACTCAATGATGACTCTTTGGCGTTGTAAATCTTTATTCCTCCCCAGTCCCACTCCCTTCTTTGCATGTAATGGCGTTTGACAGTGTAGTATATATCTTTCCAGGTGTTTTTCTATATATTTACACATAGGTTTTCTTTCCCACTTAATAATATATCCTGGAGATCTTTTCATGTCAATAGACATAGATTTACCTCATTAAAAAATATATATAATTTTCTGTAAACTTATCCTATTATTTATTTATTTATTTATTTGGGGGGAAGATTAGCCCTGAGCTAACTACTGCCAGTCCTCCTCTTTTTTGCTGAGGAAGCCTGGCCCTGAGCTAACATCTGTGCCCATCTTCCTCTACTTTATATGTGGGACGCCTACCACAGAATGGTGTACCAAGTGGTGCCATGTCCACATCTGGGATCCGAACCGGTGAACCCCGGGCCGCTGAGGAGTGGAACTTACAAACTTAACTGCTGCGCCACCAGGCTGGACCCCCAAACTTATCCTATAATTCATTCAACCATTCCACTATTGGTGGACATCTATCTAGGTTGTTTGTAATTTTTAACAAAAAATGGTATCCTGTTTTCTTCACTTTTCCCCAGACCATCACCTCAGACCCAGCATCAATTCCATCCCTCTCCAGTGTGTCTCTGTCACTCCTTTGCCAACAGCTTAATTCTCTTGTCCCAGGATCATCTACCACGATCACGCTTCTCGCCCCCTTTTAGAGCGTACCTGTCTTCTCTGCTCACACCTCAGAGCTTCTGAGATGAATGGAGAACGTCGCACAACAAAATCACTGGGGCAACCAAACATGACGCCTGGAGCTAACTGGGCCTTCGGGCTGCTTCCCGTTCCTTCTGTGTATCCCTGCTCAGTTTCCTCTCCCACCCCCAGAGCAGCTGCTCTAAACCCTCACTCCTCAAGATCCCTTCTCACCTCCTCTTGGGCAACAACTTTGCTTTAAAGGGAAAGTGAAGGCGATTGAGCATGAAATTCTTCATCTCCTCCCACACCTACATGCTTACCTATATCTGCACAGATCCTTTCCTCTCGCCCTTCTGACAAGTGATAAATCTCCCTTCGCTGGACTAAAGCAAGTCCCTGCTAGATTCTTCATTCCTGAGATACTTACATACACCCAATATGTAAAATAACTAACGTGATGCAGATTTGGGCAGTTTGCATCTTCTTTGTTAACTTAAGTCTCAATGACTTCCTTCTCCTTGTAAAGTCTCCCTTAAAAGTGTATTTTCCTGGATGTTCCTCTATAAGCAAGTCCCCATCTTGTTTTCTTACAACCAAATTTCCTGAAAAGGTCTGAGGCTTTCCCTCCTCGCTTCCTCACCTCCCATTCATTCCTCAGCGCACCCTGCTCTGGCTCTTGTTCTGTTGAAACTGCTTTCCAAAGGTACCTAGTTGCCAAATACGATGGGGCACTTCTCCGTCCTTGTCTGGCTTCACCTCTCCATGACATTTGACACTGCTCTCCACTCCTTGAAACTTGACTCTTTTGGCTTCTGTTACCCTGTTCTCCTGGCTCCTTTCACTTCTCTGGCCACTCCTTCTCAGTCTTCTCCTCCAACCTCTTAAATGCTGCTCTATACCTAGGGTCAGCCCTTGGTCTTTTCCTTGCTCTCTCTGGCAGGTGTCATCCACACCCACAGATTCCACAACAATAATTATATCTGTATCCCCAGCTGAAACCATTCTGCTGCGCTCTGGGCCGTATGTCCAATTGCCCTCAGGTGCCTCAAACGCCTTCCATCTTCAAGATGAGTTAAACTGAACTCATCTTTTCGCCAAAACTGCGCTTTTCATGTCACCACCATCTCTCTTCACCTTAGCCAGAAGCCTGGGATTCATTTCAATTTCCTTTCCCTCAAGCCCCACATCCACTAAGAATTTTCCAGACTGACATCAAACTATACCTTTCGATGCCATCCCCTTCTTTCCATCCCAACAGCCACTGTTTTAGTTCATCCTCTCGTGCCTAGACTTTTGCAACACTCCAGTCACCCTCCAGAATGATGCCTGAGTGGTCCTCCTAAAAGCACGCTTAATACATCAAAACCACTTAAGGGATCTCCAACTTCGGAAAGAACGGCTTTCGGGTTAGCCTCAGGCTGGAGGTCACTCCCAGAAACTGAGCAAAACTCGCTGCGGCGACCTCGCAGCAAAGAAGCCCCAGACCTAGGCGGGGATTAGGCCAGCCTAGGCCGCAGCCCCAACGCCCCGGTGACAGCTCACGGCCTCGGGACGGCTCCCAGCCCTCAGGGGACGCGATTCCGCGCGCCCCCTCTGCGCCAGGTGCGCCCACCCCCGGCCGGCGTTGGGCTCCGGCCGCCGGGGGCGGAGCCATTGCTGCCCCGCCCCCCGCGCCTGCGGGCCGGCCTCCGGTCACGTGATGGCGGCGCAGGTGAGCACCGCTTCCGGGGTCGGGAGCCCGCCGCGCGGCCGCTCCGGCTTCTGCTCGGTCGGGTGCGCGGGAGACGATGGCGTCCTCCTCGATCCCGCCGGCCGCCGCACCGGCGGCGACAGCGGCCCCCGGGCCGGGTTTCGGCTTCGCCTCCAAAACCAAGAAGAAGCATTTCGTGCAGCAGAAGGTGAAGGTGTTCCGGGCGGCCGACCCGCTGGTGGGCGTGTTCCTGTGGGGCGTAGCCCACTCGGTGAGACCCGGCCCTCGCCCCCGCGGCCCTGCCGAGCCCCTCAGCTCCTGCGCCCCGGCGTCCCAGCTTCCAGGCTCCCGCCTCCCGAGCCCCTCGCGCGGCCACTCTCCCCGCGGCCGTCCCGGTCGCCGCCCACGCCACCCCCCGGCGTATCTTCTCGCTCTGGACCTTTCCCGAACGCAGACTTTTGTCTGCCCCTCCGCCCTTTACTCCTCAGCTCTAGGGCCGCCTTCCCCACCTGCAGCCCAGCTCCCTGCCTCCTTCCGGCCAGATCCGGCCTCAGCCCCAGGACCCGGCCCCGGCTGGAAGGACGTTAGGGGGAGTGGCTCTTCAGGGTTGGCGGCGGTGAGGTCTCGGGTGAGCGTGTGTGTGTGGAAGGGGAGCAGGGAGGGTGGCTGGGTGCGGGGGATCGTTCACTTTCCTTTCCGCCTTGCTTTCCAGCCGCCGTCCTTGACTTTGGAACCTTGGCTTTGGGGGAAGCGCCAGGCTTCCCGGACCTTCTAATCCTGCTTGTCCCTTCCTTTCCCTTCCAGAGGTACAGCATTTCAGAGAAGCTACCCCACCCTGAGCCTAGTGGCCGCACTCACTCAGGACCTATGTATATATGCCTTTGGTTTTAACTGCCTCCCCACTGCTGGCTGCAGTGATGGTGTTTGGTGTAAGTGGGGGTCATCTTGGACCAAAGAGAGGGCTGAGGAGCTCTGGTCCTGGGGACACTATGGTGGTGAACTTCAGAAGCAGGGAACTGCTGGAGGGGGTACGGCCTGAGAATAAGGAGGAGGCCAAAGAGGGCTGTGCATCTCCTTTCCTGAGGATACCTCAGGAGAAGGTATGTGGCAGGCAGTGTTTTATAAACCAGCTTCCTTGGATGGTTATAGTCATGGCAGGGTTGTGGAGGTGGAAGGGGGTGAGGAAGAACACAGTTTTTGTGACATTCTTAATTTGTGCCTGAGAATGTCATTTGGGGCCCGTCAGCTCCCTTTTGCACTTATGGCTCTGTGGAGTGTTCCCAGCTCCCTGGGTGGTAAAATCTTACTAGCCAGTATCCAGTCTAAGGCACTTGGTATGAGCAGGTCTGATGGAGGTAGGCCTGCCTCCTATGTACCTTCCAGGTGACTTATCCATCCCTTTGGGAAGGATTGGGGGAGTCACACTGAAGACCTGCCTCTGCTTCCCTAGGTATATGTACTTCAGTCCCAATACCCCACCCTCCAGCCAACACACATTTACTTCAAGTGTCTGTAATGGAGAAATTCCGTGAACATATGTCTTTGTGATGATTCAGCCTGCTTAACAGCAGGTGGCGAGGAGGGGGCATGAAGAACCATAGCTGATTTTTAGGCTGGGAATCTCAAGTGGCTTTTTTTTTCCCTGGAGGAATATGTTCTGTCCTCCTTTTCTGCTGAGAATGAGAGGCGCTGGGTTTCACTGCAGTGTGTGGGATTTAGGTTAGACTGTACTTCAAAACCTCTGTGAACAATCAAGTAAGGATAGGAAAGCATCCGTGCATTCAGTTGATAAACACTCTGGACCACCGTGTGCCCAACACTGTGCTAGCTAGGCTCCTGAGAGATGCAGATGACTAGAACTGGCCCTTGCTCTGGAAGAGCTCACAATTTGGATGGGACTTACATAAACTAGTCGTATGATCAGTGCACTATTAAAGGTGGGTGCAAGATACTGTGGCAACACTGGGGAGAAAGCACATCTCCTTGGGATTTCTTAGTACAGGATCTCCCTTTCCACTATGAGTTAGCCGACTGTGATTCTGGGGCCTGAGGAGAGTGTGTGATGATGCTTGCATCCTTTGAGCTGTGGGTTGACTTTAGTGAACAGACTCCTAATGAGCTCATATGCTCCACCTGCCTACATTCCCTCTGAAATCAGCTGCTCTTGGGGGCCGGCCCTGTGACCTAATGGTTAAGTTCGGTGTGCTCCACTTTGGGGGCCCTGGTTCGGTTCCGGGGTGTGGACCTCGACCACTCTTTGACAGCCATAATGTGGCATGACCCACATACAAAATAGAGGAAGATTGGCACAGATGTTAGTTCAGGGCGAATCTTCCTCAGGAAAAAAAAAATTAGCTGCTCTTCTTTTCCTTTACATCTAGGCAGGTGGGGAGCTACTGCAGAGAACTGGGTCAGAGCGGTCTAGAAGGACTGGTCCTGTTTGTAAGGAGATGCCTCCTGCAGGATACGGCCATGTCATTCTTGTTGCCCTTGACCCCTCAGCAGCCATTAACTTTTGCGTGTACTTTAAAGATGCCTTTTGTTTTGTTTTTAGTGGAGCATGGAACTGTTTGTCTTGAGTGTCTTGAGTCTGCTGAGGGTGTTTTTTTCTCTAGAATTTCTCACAGCTTTAAAAATAGTCTTGAGTTGCTCACAGGGTTTGCCTAATATAAAGTGACTGTTGTGAGCATGAAGTTCCACGGGGGTGGAAGTGTGAGAGGCTGTGTGTGAGAGCTGCCTACTGCAGTCTTTGTTGGGCAGAAGAGGTTGGACACATTCTCTCACCTCTGTCAGGCGTAGGCATAACCAGTGTTTTTAAAGGAATGCGGTTTGAGTTGCCCTTTTCTGACTCTTTCCCAGACACAGTGTATAAGGACCTCTCCACACCCCTGCTCACTGCCTCCTTGTTCTTGTTTTGGTTTATCAGATCAATGAGCTCAGCCAGGTGCCTCCCCCGGTGATGCTGCTGCCGGACGACTTTAAGGCCAGCTCCAAGATCAAGGTCAACAATCACCTTTTCCACAGGTATGTGGGGATCCCCGCCCTTCTCATGTCAACCTTCCTAGAAAAGAGTAATAAGTAATTTTAGGAGTTAAGATTCAGTGAGTTGAATGTTTTCCATTTAGAAGGCAACTGACAAGTTGTATTGTCTAACCTCCTTCCCTATTCAGAAATTCGGTATTGTGCAAAGAAACCATTAAAATAATCTCCAGTGTTTCCTGCACTCTTTTATGTACATACTAGTTTCTCTTTCCTCCAGCCTGGTTATTCCACAGAGTAAATACATTTAGATGCCATTCCTGTTAGCTCCTGATAGGGACTCCCTGAAAGAAATACCTGAATCCTCTAAGCTCTCAGTATCAGAAGATGCCATTCAAAACAGTGGTACCTCTTGCTGGTTTTAGGATGTCTCTAACTTGCTTGAGATTTGGGAAATGCTGCTGTTTGGATGGGCAGTAGATCCTGGTTCTACTTAAGCCACTTACCAGCCATATGACTTAAACAGGTCACTCAATCACCTTGAGTCACAGTCTTTCCTTCTATAAAATGGGAATAATATACCTTTAAAGGACCTCACAAGAGTTTTATGAGAATGAAATAAGGTAATATGTGTGAAGGTGCTTTATAAACTATAAAGCTCTATATAAATGTAAGGTAATATTGTTACTTTGTTTTCTTAACCTTGAAAACTCCCATTTCAGGGAAAATCTGCCTAGTCATTTCAAGTTCAAGGAGTATTGTCCCCAGGTCTTCAGGAACCTCCGTGATCGATTTGGCATTGATGACCAGGATTACTTGGTGAGAGTCCATTATGGGGTGAGGGTGGTCCTTTCTCCCTAACAACTGACGAATCCTTGGGACAGTCATGTTTGGAGAAATGAGAGCCTTGGAAAGTATTATTCTTTACCTTTTTGTGGTCCTAGGCATCTTCAAAAATCTGATGAAAGCTATAAACCTTGTCCTTGGGGGAAAAACGTAGATATATTAAAAATCTTGTTTTCAGTTTCATTCAGTCCATATATGGACACCAGATTAAGAACCCCTGCTCAGCCTATTACACAGGGGTTTTATCCATTTTCTGATGCATTCAGTTGACCATTATCCTATGACTTGCATCTCCATATAGAGGGGCAGGAAAAGATCCCTGGCCTCTGCTGTGTCCCCAGGTATCCCTCACCCGAAGTCCCCCGAGTGAAACTGAAGGCAGTGATGGTCGCTTCCTCATCTCCTATGATCGAACTCTGGTCATCAAAGAAGTATCCAGCGAGGACATTGCTGACATGCATAGCAACCTCTCCAACTACCACCAGGTCAGGCCTCTCCCCAGCCTCATTCTTTCCCTCCACTCCCCCCGACTCGTAGCTCAGCTGTCAGAGCACATGGGGAGACTTCCTATCCGTTTTCCTCCCTACAGCCCATTTTGCCTCCCCTAAGAAGCATTTGACACCATGTTTTTGAAAACTAGGAATTAAAAAAGAGAGCCTCCACATACCTATTTGTGTTTGATTAAATAGAATAATTTAGAAATGTTCCTTATCATTTGGTACCTACAGTCTAAAACGCTGTGGATTGACGCATAAAACGCGCACACGTAGCAAAATTTGACTATAGACTAAGTCAGATTTAGGTGAAGTGTTAACACCAAAGCTACTATCAGGAATAAATGCAGTGTGGGGAGAAAACCAGAATAAATGCACAACTGGGATAAATTGGAGGGGAAAAGCCATGATTATGTCCAGTCCTAAGTGGGATTAGAGAAGCTATTCTGTCTGATCAGATTAATTTGGAATATGGAATTTCTGGAATATTTTGGTGATAAGAACACTGCCTGAATATCTTTCAACTGAAGAAAAATCTCACCAAAATCAATGAGCAATGAATAAATGAAAGGCTCTAAAAGGAGTCTTTGGTTTATTGAACAAATATTGAATGTCTTATTACTAGGCCCTACGTTAGGCAGTGGAGAAAGAGGTGAGTGAAATGGTTGGGGCCTTTGCACATCTCTTGGTCTAATGGCAGAGAGCAGTAAGCTAGCATTAGCACACAACAAGATGTGTGCAATAGTAGATGTATGTACAGAATGCTCTGGGGCTGCAGAGGAAGAGCATCTCAACTCGTCTCGGGGAAGAGGTGCATTGGGAGGCTCAAAGAGAGTTTTAGAGAGAGTATCATAGAAGCTGATTCTTGAAAGACTAGTAGGGACTAACCATTGGATGAAGTGGAAGAGAGCACTCTAGGCAAAGGAAAACAGCAATTGTAAAGGCACAGAACCATGAGAGAGCTTGGTGTTGGGGAACTGCAAGAAAGTCAGTGTGGCTAAGATATGATGTTGTCGAAAAACAGTTAGGCAGGAGTCAGGCTGTGAAGGCTTTTCTAAGCCACGCAGAGAGTTTGGGTTTTATCCTGAAGGTGGTTTGTAGGGGAGTGGTATATATGTTACTTAGAAATAACACCAGGCATTGTAGAGAAAGTGACAGCATTTTAGGGAATGGAATGAGGGCAGGGAGGGAACTGGAAGTGGAGGTAGCAGTTGGGAGGTAATTGTAATAGTCTAGGTGAGCAATGACAGGGGCCTGGTGGAGTGACGGCAGTGGAGATGGTGAGCAAGAGCTATGTGAGAACTGTGGGAATTAGGCAGAGGTGCCTCTAAGTTCCTGGTTGGGGTAACTGGGTGCCCATTCACCAACAGTTGGGAAGCAGAAGAAGAAACAGGTTTTTGGAGGAAGACGGTTTTGATTTAGACATGTTGAGTTTGGGGTTTCTGCAGTCCATCCAGGTATAGCTGCCCAGTAAGTGGTTGGGGTATGGAGTTCAGGAAAGAGGATTAGACTAGGAGTCTAAATTGGAGAGTTATAAGTAAATAGATGGTAATTAAAGCCATGAATTAGATAATTATTGAAGAGAAATGTGGAGTGAAATGAAAAGAAAGTTGAGGACAGAACTTTAAGGAACAAGTAGAAAAAAGAGCCCATGAAGGAGACTCAGAGTAGATGGACGCTCCTAATGATTTATGCTCTACTCCATTCCACACAGGATTTGAGGACGGAGGAGGATCAGAAGGGTGGTATGATGGGAGCAAGGGTGAAAAGAGGTTTAAGGAGAGACTAGCAGTAGTATCAAGTGTCGCCCAGTTGCAATAGATACCCATTGGATTTGGGAACCGAGGGATTTGGTGGAGGGAGGGGCAGAGAGATTTCAGAGGGGAAAGGAGAATATAAATCTGATTTCAGTGATCCGAGGTGTGAATAAGAGAAAGGAAGTGGATTGATTGCTGACTAATTTTCTGAGAGGTTGGCTATGAAGAGAAGTAGGCAGCAATACTGAGAGGGAGAGAGATGGTAGCATTGAAAGAGGAAGTTTTTTTTAGAATCCAAATTATAGGCCATCATGCAAACATTTTTACTACGGGAATCTAGCCCACTCAGAAAAATTGGTCTAGATAAAATCATTTCATTGAAAAGCAGATGTAATTTCTAATCCTGGTTCTGTGACCACTTGCATAGAAAAAGCGTCTAAAAGAAGGATGATAACACCTCCCTTGCCCATCTCGAAGAATGATAAAGATGAATTGAGAGAAGGCGCTTTAAAATTTAGAGACTTTATACAAATGGAATAAATCAGAGGAGAGGCGGATTCAGAAGCCATGAGAATAACCAGGGCATCTTTAGAAAGCACACCTCCCCCCTCAACTTTTGACCTTCTTGTAACCTCTCTACTTGACGTTTTCTGGCCCCCTCTGGAATGGTAGTGTTTGAATTCCCATCCCTGGGCTTCGTGTATCTGCTGCTCAGCCTCTCCGCGTTCCTTCCTCCCTTCTACCCAGTACATTGTGAAATGCCATGGCAACACACTGCTGCCCCAGTTCCTGGGCATGTACCGAGTCAGTGTGGACAACGAAGACAGCTACATGCTGGTGATGCGCAACATGTTTAGCCACCGTCTTCCTGTGCACAGGAAGTATGACCTCAAGGTAAGGAAAGGAGAGCCAGGCCCGAGGGGGAGGCTCCTGATGTCTGAGGGTGGAGAAGGGCCTGGGACGGCACTGGCCGATTCATTTGGAAGGAAAGAAGATTGGGCTCGAGCACTTATCTTAGGAGCTGGATCCTGACTATTCTTTTAGCCACATCTGCTGACTTGTCTTTGGGTCTCTCCACAGGGCTCCCTAGTGTCCCGGGAAGCCAGCGATAAGGAAAAGGTGATACTGATTTTAGGTGATAGGGTGAGGGATGGGGAAGGGCAGGTGAAAGGGATCTTCTTAGGATGAAGAGGTAGGGGTCACCAGCTATTTCTTCTTGTCTTAAAGCACTGGGAAAAAGACGTACAGTTGTACCGATCCAGGGATTGTTTGGACGGGGCAGGAGGAACAGCTGCTTTGTCACTGGCATGGGTTATTCCATGTGGAAGGTTTGGGATGGGTGAGGATGCCAGCCTTTAAGAGCAAAATGCTTACCCTCCACCTCCCACTCTGGGCTCTCCTATTCAAGGAGCTATTTTTGCTTATGAAGAAGAAAGAAAAGTCAGCATAGAGGGTCTTGATTGAAAACCGTAAGCAGAAAGTAGTGGGCTGTGACTTGGAGCACAGCTGCAGTGAGTGTTTGGGGAAGCCACTGGAGGTGAGAACAGACTCTGGGGCAGCACTCCAGTGTGGATCGGGTGCGAGAGGGACTATGAGAGCTCTTTCCCCTAGAGGCTCTGAGTTAAATAGAGCCCTAGATAGAGCAGAGTCCTCTGGGACCTTGGGGGAAGGTGCCAAGATGTCCCTTTACCTATTCTCAGGTTAAAGAATTGCCCACACTTAAGGATATGGACTTTCTTAACAAGAACCAGAAAGTTTACATTGGTGAAGAGGAAAAGAAAGTCTTTTTAGAGAAACTAAAGAGAGATGTGGAGGTAATGACTGAGGTGTTCTGGGAATGGCTTTGTTTCCTTTTTTGCTCCCCAGAGGTTAGCTCTCTCTCCCATTCACAATATGAGGGAACTCCTCCCCTTCCCTTTGTTCTTTGGGCTCTCTGCATGTAGGGGAGTTGGATATGAGATGTGAAAACCCCCTAGAGGGGACCCATGGAGCAGGGAGCTAGCCTGAGCTAAAAGGATAATCTTAGATACCAGGACATTTAGGTACTAAAGGGCAATGGTATACTCCCAACTCGCCAGTTTCACACTTCCTTTCCCCAGGAGGGCCCCAGAAATTCAGGGGTGGAGGTATAAGGGTGGTACCTGGGAATGGGGAGGGAGAGCTGGGGTGTCTGATTTGTCAGTGGGGTCTCAGTTCCTAGTGCAGCTGAAGATCATGGACTACAGCCTTCTGCTGGGCATCCACGACATCATTCGGGGCTCTGAACCAGAGGAGGAGGGACCTGTGCGGGAGGAGGAGTCCGAGGGGGATGGGGACTGTGGCCCGACAGGACAACCTGCTCTGGTGGGTTCCTATGGCACCTCCCCTGAGGGAATCGGCGGCTACATCCATTCCCATCGGCCCTTGGGCCCTGGAGAGTTTGAATCCTTCATTGATGTCTACGCCATCCGGAGTGCTGAGGGTGAGAGAGATCCTGGAAATTTTAAGGGTGGGGAGGGTTGTCCTTGGGGGACAGAGACCAGGGTGGTGGATGGAGAGGCTGGTTAGCTTTTCAGAAGAGATCTGACCGGTTCCTGGGAAGAGGGAATTGGGGCTATACTTGCTCTTCATTGCTGGTCCCTCTCCCCAGGGGCCCCCCACAAGGAGGTGTATTTCATGGGCCTCATTGACATCCTGACACAGTATGATGCCAAGAAGAAAGCAGCTCATGCAGCCAAAACTGTCAAGCATGGGGTGAGGGTTCCCCAAAGCCATTCCTTTCCTATCTTGACTGTTCTTTGGGAAGAGAGAGCGTCTCGTGCCAGAGCAGTGGGGTGGCAAAAGGATAAAGGGTTGAGTCTGGAGTGGAACAGGGGGTGGGCAGTGGGGAAGGTGGGCGGGTGGCCTGACACAATGTTCCATACCTCCTCTCACAGGCTGGGGCAGAGATCTCTACTGTCCATCCTGAGCAGTATGCTAAGCGATTCCTGGATTTTATTACCAACATCTTTGCCTAAGAGACTGCCTGACTCCATGGTGACTGCTGCTTTCTGTTCAAGGTGGTCGGGTTCTGAGAGGTTTGGGGGGATTGTGGATATTCTGGCCACTACTTCTTCTCTTCCTCCTTTGCTAAATTCAGGCTATGGCTCCTTCCATCCAAATAACTCCGTCTTATTGAGTGGGCTCTTCCTGGCCCTTGGAAATACGTCATCCCTTTTCCCCTTTGTCCAGTTTTCCTCTTCCTCCCTCCCCTCCAATGAGTCTGCTTGTTTCATGAGGGCATTACTGTTGACTCTCCCAAGTGCCTTGATCTTTGTCAAATGTCCTGTTGTTTCTGTAACATAGGAGGAGCTGGGGAAGGGGGTGGTTTGCCGTCTTCAGGACCTGACTGGACAGATGGACCTGACTCAAGCAGCTACTCTGGACGCACTTTGCTGTGTGGGATGAACTAAGAGTGTTTGAATTTTGCTGATAACTTTATAGAACTCAGTGTGGCACGCTTCCTTCCCAGTGGGCCCTGGGATAGAAGATTTTCAAGATACTACAGATGTGGGTGCAGGCATACACACATATGATGGGACATGGCCAATCTTACCCACCGTTGGGGTGGAGAGTGGTCAGCAGGCTGGCACTTCATGGAGGTGGGACCTACGAGGACTCTTGATTATGCGGGGAATTGGAGAAGGTCTCTGTCAGGGATTGACTACTCTCCAATCTCTTCCCTCACCCCACTTCCACTCCCACCCCTATACTTCTGGGCGCAGGAGCCCAGAGATTGCCAGAGTGTTCCATCCTGGGGAAGGTGTTTGATTCTCTGTTGCTGCTTTTTCCCCAGGACCTCACACCCTTCCTGGGGCTGGAACCCTTCAGTGGGGATATGGGCCAGTTCTGGAGGCTGGGATGATGGGCCAGGGGTGTAAGGTTCATTCTCCATGTTAAATTTCCTTTCTTCATGTCTCCCCATCCCTGAGGTTTTAGTCCTAGCAGGAGGGAATATCTCTACCTGGGTCAACCCTGGTCATTTCAAAGGATGGAAGTCTCAAGTGTGAGAACCTCCTCTGCTCCCTGGAGATATGCGCCTAGCATACTCCCTTCCCCCACCTCTTCTCAAACCCTTTTTCCAGTTGGTTTTGTTGTTCTTGTCTCTTCTGTCCAGGCTTATACTGCTACTGTGCCTCCCAGGGGACAGATGGCTTTCTTTGTCATCTTCACTCTTAATCCCCAGAGAGGAGTCAGAGCCATAACTCAATCACCCAGCCCTCTCCAAAGAGAGTTGAGTTGATGTGTGATAGTCTTAGAATGTAGAGGACCCTGATGAGCTGAGATAGTGTCCTCCCCTCCCCCCAATGCTTTAGGGGCTAAGGCAGCCATTCTTCCTGCTATCCTCCATCTCCCTTGAGGCTCCTACATTTTTTTTAAACATAAAGATGGGTATACCAGCAACTGGCCTGTGGGGATGCAAAGATTCTTCGCTCTGTATCTGGCTGGACTGATCTGTCTCACAGGAAGTCATGAGGTCATGAAGAATTCCTCTCTCCCTTCCATCTTCTCCAAAGGAAGTAACAAGAGGCGTCTCCAGTTAAGGATTGGAGCCCCTATCATACCTTCCTGTCAGGAGCCTAATGGGTCTTTTTCTTTCCCAGTCTACCTTTCCCCTGTTGAATGCAATAAAACTCCATGACACCAGCAACTGTTCTTTAGAAATGGGTTTTCTGACCATGTGGCTAATGTATCATGAGCAGTATGGTCTCCTTCATTTGTTGTTTCTGTTTTCCATCTTTTTTTGTTTTATTAATTAATAGAAAAGATCTTGTGTAAGTACTCCCATTACTGTCACTATATAGAAAATAAATTATTGAATCCGAATTCCTTCACAGAAATGCCTCTTGTTTCCCCCTTCCCCCTTTTCTGAGGAAGGCTGTGCCTAGGGGTACAGAGACCAGATGGAGAATTCTCATCTTTAAGTTGTTGGCCCCTAACTAAGAAATGCGGGTCTCTAGATAGATGGCTGTGAACTTCAAAGGCGGCAAGGGGTGTGCATGGGAATGGAAAACTCATTCTCCAGCTTTGTGGGAATCCAGCTATAGGGGGGCCAGGGAGAACTGAGGTGAAGTGACCCTCTTCCCTCAGGTCCTGGACTTGACCACACTCCCATCTCAGTAAAGGTGAGTGAGCCTCTCAGTTCACGCACACTAGCACCACAAGCACTAGCACCGCAGGCATGCACGAGCTAAAAGAGAAGGAATTCAGTGTTTCCCCAGGCTTCCTGGGAAAGATGTCCTCTGCCTGGAGGGCAAGAAGAGTACAGCAGGGTCCTGGGAAAGTGAGGAAGAAAGTGACCAACCCTCCAGCCCAGAGGGGGAGTGAAGAAGGGGGTGGACAAATAGAGATTGTTGCCAGTCTGGGAGATGAGTACTGCTTGGTGTGGAGGCCTTCTGGCTGGTGGAAAAACCTGGCTTGATGTGGCCCCAGGGAAGTGAGTTCGACTGGGGGCGGAGATTGCTCTGATGTGGGAAGCAGAACAGAGCACAGCTTTTTTTTTCTTTGACAGTTTTTAACTCTATTTCAACCATAGACCTGACACTACCACCACCCCAAGACATTTTTAAAAAATGTATTCACTTCCTGTTCTGCACCAGCCTCAGTATCCCTGTTTGTGCAAAGAGAAAAATCAGAGGCACTTACCCATAGCCACCTAGGAGCAGGTTGTTGGGGTCACAGAAGGTAACAATCCAGGAAAAGGCAAGAGATGAGGGAGGGTATTGAAATGGTTTAGTCCTGGGGTTTATTTTTTTAGAACCGATGCTATTCCTTTTACTGTGACTCTTCTTCCCGTCCCACATTATTCCTCAAAGACCTTTCCAGCGTAAGGCTCACAGAAAAATTGCCCCCTCTTCCCCACCTACCTAAACCAACACTCCTCACCCACCCATCCGCCAGAAGCTGCCACGCAGCTGGCTGGGAAAAAGGGAGAGGGTTCCTGCTGGGAGGGGAAACGAGAAGGGTGGCGTCTCTGAGGGATTTAACCTCCTACCTTCGGTTCCACGACGCCACCCCCTCCCTCCAAAGACTGGGACGGCGCCTCCATTTTTGTTTTGGGGCGGAAGGGCAGGGGCTGGTGGATAGAAGGGGTCAAAGAAAACGGCGGTTATCACCCGAGAGGGGGAAGGGGGTGCTGTCCTCCTTCCCTTCCCCTCAGTCTGCACCCCCTGCAAACTGCCCCCACCTTCTCGGGGTCTCCCCCGCCTTGTTGCTAAGGCCCAGACCGTCATCCCAGCAACAGCCTCAGTCATGTGACCGGCAATGGCGGCGCTGACGGGAGGTAGGTGAGCCCGGCGCCCCCCACACCCACCGCACGCCCCCCGGGCCCCGCTCGCACCCCCCGCGCGCCCTCCTGCTCCCCCTGCGCCCCCTCCTCCGCCTCCTTCGCCCGCGCGCGGCGCCGGGGGCCCTCCACGCCCGGGCGATCCTCTTTCTATCACCCTCCAGCCTTGGCCTCCATTTGGGGGTTCTGGGGACTGCGATCGGCCGACATGCACCCCCGCCCATGATGGGGCTCCAGGGGCTCTGGCGAGAGGGCTATGTGGGGAGTTGGTTCCGGGTCGGGTCTTGTAGGAGGTCGTGGGGGGAGGGGTAGAGCTGCCTCGGTTGATGCCCCCCAGAACCCGTGCCCTTCCCGGCTGCCCCTCCGCCGGCCTCTGTCCGGAGGGAGGGACTGGCTCGTGTCCGGCCTGGCTTGCCCCAGAGGAATCAGAGACCCAGCATAAACTGTGGCCCCGCCTCCCTTTTCCGTGCCAGCAGGACTTGGAGCTAAGGACACCTAGGTTCTGGGCTCCCTCTGATGGGGAAGGGGGTGTTCCACCTGGAAAGACGGTATGAGCCGAAGCTCTAGGCTTCCAGTTTCACTTTCTGAATCTCGAGGTGCGTCTGGCCTTGAGGGAACTAGGATGGAGGCACAAACGGAAAGCCGCTCCCCTTTGCATCAGTTAAGGAATTGAGGTCACACTAATTGCCCCTCTTTCTATTTGAGCTGCATTTGGAGGTGGTGTAGAGATAGCTCTGTAGCCGAACGCGGCCAGACTCAGGGGAAACATCAGGCTCTTCCAGCCGAGCCCCTGCGGGAGCCCCACCCCTCCCTAAATGCAGACTAAATTGCTGACCGGCTTGCACTTCGCGCTAGGTGCGCTGGGTTTAAAAGGTGACGGTGAGAACTTTGTTATTGCAGGGGCTGCTGCCACTTTGTTCGCATTCCAAACAGACTTCCGCAGAAGAGACTGGGTTCGCTCTCAAGGAAGGTTCCCTAGCAGTAGGGGCTGAATTATTTGGGAATGTGGAGCAGAGCGAGGAGTTGGGGAGCATAGGAGATATTCTTGTCCATGTGATCTGAGGGAGGTGGCAAGAAAGACCTCCATCTGTGTGGGTCTTTCTCTTCCTGACTTCTCTTATCTGTGCCCTAGGCTTTCTGGAGAGCCTCAGAGCTGGGGGAGAAAAGAGGAAAGTTAGCATGTTCAAGTTCCTTCTTTAGCAACTAGGAGAGAGGCTGGGGATGGAATTCTGCAGGAGAGAAGGAGAGGAAGTGGAAGAGGAGTTTTTGTTTTGTTACTAGACTGGCTGGGGAAAACTGGTAACATTTGTCATCATAACCCTTTACCTTGCCCCTTCCCCCGCAGCCCTGGTCAGCTGAGTGTGGAAAGTGAGGGACTGCTGCTGCTATCATCGTCCATGGGCTTTCCAGGTATCTACCTCCCAAGACAACCTCGACTTTGTCCTTTAAATTGGTTTCCCCCATTCCATGTTCCAAGTAATCCCATCCCCAGGAACTTACACCCAGGCTCCCATCTCTGTGACTGGGCTGTGGGGTAGGGGCATGTGGGAACGGAGGAGGGGGTTTCTCACTTTCCCTCCTTTTCCTTTCCACTCACCAGGTCACACAACCTACAAGTAGGGCGCAGGGACACAGAGAGAGAGCCTGCATGCCAGTTCTAAGCTCTTCAGGATCAAAGTGAGCAAAAAGGAGGTTAAAAAGTCTCCCTCCCCTTGAAAGAACCCAGTTTTCACCCGGGGAGGGGGAGGGGCGGATTGTTTCTGTGATCCTGGGAGGAGTGTAAGGAGAACCAAGATTGATGTTTGGCCTAGATGATAAATAATAAAGTTATAGAAATTTTCTTGCTCTTCAGTGGGTGCTGGGGTTTGAAAGATGAGAGGAGACTGAAAATGAACTTGGGGGAGGAGGTGGGGGTTGGACTTTGAGAGAGTAGAGGTAATACAGGTTTGGAAAGGAACTTGAAGTAGGAGGCACTGACATTTGTCAAATGGGGACCCCCCACCCTGAGTCCCTTTCACCCTGGGGGCAGTGTCGTTCGTCCTGTCCAGAATGGCAGCCTGTGGAGGCACCTGCAAGAACAAAGTGACTGTCTCCAAGCCTGTGTGGGACTTCCTGAGCAAGGAGACCCCAGCCCGGCTGGCCCGGCTTCGGGAGGAGCACCGTGTGTCCATCCTCATAGATGGCGAGACTTCTGACATCTATGTTCTCCAGCTTTCCCCACAGGGCCCGCCCCCAGCCCCTCCCAATGGGCTCTACCTGGCCCGGAAGGCTCTCAAGGGGCTGCTAAAAGAGGCCGAGAAAGAGCTGAAGAAAGCTCAGAGGCAGGGGGAGCTTATGGGCTGCCTGGCTTTGGGGGGTGGGGGGGAACACCCCGAGTTGCACCGCCCAGGCCCACCCCCTCTCCGAGCAGCCCCGCTCCTGCCCCCAGGGGCTCGGGGACTCCCCCCACCTCCTCCTCCTCTGCCCCCTCCTCTTCCTCCTCGGCTTCGGGAGGAGGCAGAAGAGCAGGAGAGCACCTGCCCCATCTGTCTGGGGGAGATCCAGAATGCCAAGACCTTGGAGAAGTGCCGGCACTCATTCTGCGAGGGCTGCATCACCCGGGCCCTGCAGGTGAAGAAGGCCTGCCCCATGTGCGGCCGCTTCTATGGGCAGCTGGTGGGTAACCAGCCCCAGAATGGGCGGATGCTGGTCTCTAAGGACGCCACACTCCTGCTGCCCAGCTATGAGAAGTACGGCACCATCGTCATCCAGTACGTCTTCCCGCCCGGTGTCCAGGGGGTAAGAAGACTACGGCCTGCCCTCACCCTTTGGTTTTCCCCAAGCTGGTTCTCTGACCTAGGAAAACTGGGTGAGGGTGAGTGTTTGTTAGATGGGATACAGTCTTGCTGTCTCCCGGGGTGTCGTCCCACTCGGTGCCCTGGAGCTAGGACATCTCCTTGAGGCTCAGCTTTTCCATCCCCACGACCCTAAGCACACATGAAAATCAAATATGAGACAAAGGAATTGAATAGTTTCCTTGGTGAACCTGGATGTTGACAGATACTCTAGGCAGAGGAATTCTGTGGAGATGGTGGCTCAGGTGCAGGCAGGCACAGCTGGGAGGGATGTGACCCTCCTAACAGAGCTGGGAGTGTTACTCGCTTCCAGATTTATGACAGAGGAAAACCTTGATGACAGTGGAAGGTTAAAACAGGAGTGATCAAGATACAGGTGTCTTTCTGCTTGACAAAATAATTTCCATTTCTGGTTTGCAGAGGGATGAGGAAGCTCCGAAGATGGGTAATAGGAAAGTAGAACAGGTTGGACAGTGGAAGAAGCACTGGGAGTGTGGTCAGGTGGAGAAGGAAAGGCTGAAGGAGAAATTATTCTCAGTTTTCATATTTCTGCTGAGTTATCTGGAGAGTAGGGACCAGCTTCCTTCCATCACTTCTGAGAATCCATTTGTTGCTGAACTGAGACTTGGATCGAGACAGCAGAAAGAACCTCTTAACAATAAGGATTTTGTCCAGAAACCAGCTCCTCCTGCCCAGACCCTAGAGACTCTCCTTCCTTGAAAGGCTGTCAGCCTGTCGCTGCCCTGTCAGCAGGAGCTGGGGGTGCACAGACAGAAGGCTGGCTACGGCGACCCTCCGCGGCGTCATAGGGCTTAATGTGTCCAGCTGCTCACTGCCCACTTTGCCTCCCCCTCCTTCCAGGCTGAACACCCAAACCCAGGAGTTCGGTATCCTGGCACCACACGGGTGGCCTACCTCCCGGACTGCCCCGAGGGCAACAAGGTGCTGACCCTGTTCCGCAAGGCGTTTGACCAGCGTCTCACCTTCACTATCGGCACGTCCATGACCACAGGGAGACCGAACGTCATCACCTGGAACGATATCCACCACAAGACCAGCTGCACAGGGGGACCCCAGCTGTGCGGCACTCCTTCGTTTCCCTTCCCTTGGCTCCTCCCCTTTTTCATTTCCATTGAGGGAACACCACCAACCCCCCTCTCTCTGGGAACCTCCTAACCAGAGAGGACCACCCCCAAACTCTTCAACCATCTTCCATCCCAGTTTCTCCTACATTCAACCTGGTCCTGATGGGTGCAGCTTAACTGACAAAAATAAGCAGAATTGGGCTAAGTTTGGATAACCTTAGGGGAGGTGTGGAGGGCCAGGAATGGGGTACCCAGAAAGAGGGTGAGCACGGGGGTCATCTGAGTAACCCCAACAGCTAACCCTGACCCTCATTTTGCTTTGCTCTCAGGTTTGGGTACCCGGACCCCACCTACCTGACCCGGGTGCAAGAGGAGCTGAGAGCCAAGGGTATCACAGATGACTGAAGGACGTCCACTTTGCAAGGCCCCTGCCGTACTCCACTAGGACCCAACGGAAGCCTCTGTACTCCTCTCTCCCTCTGCCCCCCACACCACACTAATGGGGACCTGTCTGACTGGGGAAGGAGTTCAGAGAGGGAAGGGGCAGTCCCTTCCCCTGTCCCCCACAGGCCAAGTGCTTCAGTGCAGTGTGAGCCACTCCCTTCTGGCAGGGCTGACCTCCCAGGCCCTGCTCCCCTTCTCCCCTGTACATACTCCCAGTTGCCCTGGCCCTCTCTTGCCCTTGGCTTTTTCGGGTTTGTGCTGTGCTCCAGTGACTAAGCTGAGAAAGGACCTGGGTGGGGAGGGCAGGGCCTCTTGAACACCCCTGCCCTCACACACTTTTCTTCCTGAGCCTCTGGGTTAGGGGAATGGGGCTGCTCTGAGCCCCCATGGAGCCGGCTGTGTGTCTTCTTCAGAAACAGTTCCCCTTCTACCTTAACCTTGTCCTTTCTCTCCTGTGTCTCTGTCTCTGTCAGTCTGTCTGTCTCCCGCTCTTCTCTGCCCCCTATAAGGAGCCTCCTTACCCTGTTCTGGAATCGCCGCCAGACTGTAGCTTTTAATTTAATAAAAATAAAGTAAAATATGCAACTCTCTATGCCACACCCGATCCGTTCTGTGGACCCGGAGGGGGTGGGGTGGGGAGCGGGACCTGCTGAGTAGGGGAAGGGGGTGGCAAACGGGAGCTCCCCGTGTGCCTCCCAGTCTCTCTGCCTCCAGAGGGCCTGGGGCCCCGGCCTGTGCATGGCGGGCTCCATAACAGCAGTGCGAGGCCCCGGATCACGCGTCAAAGCCGGAATCGGGATTAAGAGGGGTTTGTTTGTTGTTGAACTACGGTTGTAGAGAAAGAAACAACCCTACCCCTTTAGAGAAGTTTGGCTGGGGTGGGAGTGGGGGCGGAGCCGGGCAGGGGGAGGATTCGGCGGCAGCAACTCCCCGGACGCACGCAGGCCTCCGAGCCCCCCAGCTTCCGTGCCCCCTCGGCCCTGAAACTTGGAGCAGGGTAGGGGTCCAGCATGAAGCCCCCGGACCGCCCCGCCCCTGGCCGCACTGACCGGATACTGGGGGTCATGGGGGGCATGCTGCGCGCATGCGCCCTACCCGGGCAGGAGGGGGTAAGAAAGGGGGACCACGGTGGGGTCTGGGATCTTTAGGGGGCTTCAGGCGGGCTGCACCCCACAACTCAATTTACCTGCAAACAGGAATTCTGCGGGGCAGTGGCAGGAATCCGAGAGTTCTATTAAGAGGGCCATAGCCACGTTCTGGGTGAACCACTCCCTCCACCCCAGCCTTGGCGACCCCTTTATAACAACGTGGATTTTGACAGGAGGGAGAAGGGGAAGCGGGAGGTCAAGCCTGGGCGTGGAGGGCGGGTTCCTTAGGATCGTTCTGTCCCCGCAGCCCCCGAAGAGAAGCCCCCTAGGGCCGGGGGGGACCGAACCAGAGTCTGACTGTACGGAGGGGCATCAGAGAGGGGAGCGTGAACGGGAGGTCCCCGCCTGGGCTCCGCTGCCCGGTAAGAAGCTGCGGGTGGGGTGGGGCACAGTTTGCCGTCCTGCGCAAAGTGGCGAATTCAAAGATTTGCTGCTCTCATTAGCATAAAGGTTCGGATCTAATTTGCATGAGACCCATTTAATCGCCGAGACCTCCACGCTTCTTTTCGCCCTCTAGTCCTCTGTGTGTCCCCCACCTCAGCCGGTCCCGAGCCCCCGCAGGCGGAGTGTCCCCGCGCCCCACCCCTGGCCCCTCGCCAGCCCAGGCTCCAGGACTTCGCCTTAATTGGCGATTAGCCTCAGCCGGAGTCCCGGGGCCTGGAGGAAAGAAGGGTCCGCCGAGAGGGCGGCACCTGGGCTGTGTTCCCCACAAAGAGCTCCCCATCCACGCATCCCCTACTGGGGGGCCTTGCCCACCCCTGCGCGGCTAGGGACAGTCTCAACCCCAGGACATCTTCGCACAGGCCAAGGCCCCATCCACCGCGCCCTTCCCTACCGCGGAGGCTGAGGGGCGACCCGGGCAGACCCCGCCGCCCGGCTTAACCCCCAGCCCAGCGCTCCGCAGTCAGAGCCCGAGATGCGGGAGGGAGGGTGAACCCGTAGCGGGGGCGCCCAGGCTGGGAAGGAGGGACCGAGGCGCTGGGGACGTGGAGTGGGAACGTGGTGGTGCCTGGGGGAGGGGGGACAGGGGCGGGAACCCAGCACAGTCTGGGAGAGGGGACGGGAGGGAGAGGGCGGAGCTGGGCCGCAGAGGCCCCTCCCCGCGGCAGCACCGCGGCGGGGCCTGTTATTCGGCTCGCGGCTCGGCCGGGACCCGCGCAGCGCCAGTGACTCGGAGAGTCGGCCCCCGCTCCTCCCTGCCCGGGCCTAGAGCCACCCCCAACCCGAGAGGCCGGAGACGGAGCTGGAGCGGCTGCCGCATCCCGGCCCAGCCTTCCCCACTATCCCTCCCCTCCCCTCTGGACATCTGGACCCTGGGCCCCGCACCGACAGGGTTCCGGAAACCCTCCCCGCCCAGCGCGGCGGCCCGGCCCCGCGCCACCCTCTCTGCAGAGCCCCCAGCCCTCCTCCAGACCAGACTTCCGCCTACCCCTGGACGCCCCCTCCCTGGTCCCTCCCTCCCCATCTCCCCCAGCCTGGAGTGGGGTAGGAGGGAGGGGGGGTGTGCGCCCTGCGCCGTCCCCGCCCCGCCCCCCGTGATTCCCCCTGCATGGCCGGCCCGGGTGGGGGGCGCGGGGGGGCCCGGGCGCCATGCGGGGGGGGCACAAGGGGGGTCGCTGTGCCTGTCCCCATGTGATCCGAAAAGTGCTGGCAAAATGCGGCTGCTGCTTCGCCCGGGGGGGACGTGGTGAGTGCGAGGTCGCTAGGGCCCAGTGTTGAGTGGGGGGCGGGCTGAGGGTTCAGGACATCTGTCAGCCCGGGCCCTAGGGATGTAGAGGCTGGAGGCTGTACCTGTGTTTTTCAGGAAAGTGGCTTCATAGATGAGCTCTAAGATCCCTTCTGCCTCCAAATTTCTATCAGTTCAAGTTAAGGAAATTGGGGAAGGGGCAGGGGACTCCTCTCTTTCCTGTAGTCAGCTGGGTATGAGAGAAACCCATCCACAAGCCCCTTAGGCCTAGAACCGCATTTTCCCTCAAATCCTTTTGCTGAGAATTGACTTCACATCTGAAGAGCGACAGGGGGATGGAGGAATGAGGGTGAGGGGTCTACCAGGGGCTGTATCACAAATCGCAGCTCCTCTGTCCGTGAGCCCAGGCCAAAGATAACTCTGATGAGCTCTCCTCACCTGCCCCTTCTGTTGGGTTTGTGCCTCGGTTGGGGAGGTGGGCTGCATAAGTCTTGTCTTTTTATAGTCATTACTGTACTTGGTGGAGGAGAGGTCTGGGGGTGGCAGATGGGCTCCTAGCTCTTTTTCTCCTTCCCCTTCTCAGAGAATGGTCTGTACCCATTGGAAGGGGGAGGGTTGTAGGAGAGCAGATGGCCACCCCCAGCTTCCAGTGTCAGCCCAGATGGCTGCCCCCACCCCCGTATCTGTGCCATACTTAGGATGTGGGGGAAACTCCACATGTAACCGGGGTTCCAGGCCTGGGGAGCCAGGTGTTTACTGTCCTTCCTCCCAAGGTGCCCTGGTGGAATTTTCTATCCTGGCCAACTAAAATGAGGATGGCAAGAGAGAGGGCCCTGGAGGAGAGGGGCTGAACATCATAGAGAGGAGACTCTGGGAGTTCCCTAGGGACCCTGAATCGGGAGCTGGAGCAATATCTATCTCCCCCTCTTTCCCTCCCTCCCATTAGAGTCCTATTCCATTGCTGGCAGTGAGGGGAGCATCTCAGCTTCGGCTGCCTCGGGTCTGGCTGCCCCCTCTGGCCCCAGCTCTGGCCTCAGCTCTGGCCCTTGTTCCCCGGGCCCCTCAGGGCCAGTCAGTAGCCTGAGAAGATGGTTGGATCATTCTAAACATTGTCTCAGTGTGGAAACTGAGGCAGATGGTGGCCAGGCTGGACCATATGAGGTGAGCAGGGAACACCACAGAAGCATGTAGGACATCCATGAAGGACACTGGGAGAGAGGGCAGTTTGGGGGCCACTGGTCATTGGAGAGACATAGCTACTGTCGCTGACCTCTGACACTTGACCTTTGGCCCCTAGAACTGGATGCTGGAGCCACCTCTGGCCACAGGAGAGGAGCTGCCGGAACTGACCCTGCTGACCACATTGTTGGAGGTCCCTGGAAATAAGATGCAGGTATGAAGAAATGGGTCTGGAGTGACTCCGCTCACCCAAGAGGTATGCATTTGCTTCCTCTAGGATATTCTTCCCTTCCAGCCACCTGAGGAGGAGACTTTGTCCCAAGCCCCTGAGAGTGAGGAGGAGCAGAAGAAGAAGGCTCTGGAAAGGAGTATGTAAGTGTCCTTACACTTTTCCTCCACCCCACAACTTCCAGAGGACTGTCCTTCCCATTTTAGATTTGAGACTTGGAATTTCCTCTGAGGTTGGCTGTGGTGATGAAGGGGCTGCTAGTCCAGCAGGGAGGAAGTGGCTAAACCAAGGATGTGCACTGCTGCTCTCTTCCCAGGTATGTCCTGAGGGAACTGATAGAGACAGAGAAGATGTATGTGGACGACTTGGGGCAGATTGTGGAGGTAGTTCCCTTTTCTCTTCCCAGCCCGGGCCCAGCTCTTTCCCTCTGCCCAGGGCTGGTTTAAGAGATGCCTTGGGGCGCAGGGGTTCCCATCAGGGCTGGCCCCACACACTCATGCTCCTACCCCAACCTTCCCACAGGGTTATATGGCCACCATGGCTGCTCAGGGGGTCCCTGAGAGTCTTCGAGGCCGTGACAGGATTGTGTTTGGGAACATCCAGCAAATCTATGAGTGGCATCGAGAGTGAGTGGTGGATCCCTGAGGGGGCGGGGAAGGGCATATGTCTGGTTGTCTCTATTCTGCCCCTGGGCCCATCGCTGCCTGATGAATGTTTAGAGAGGCTTCATGGGAAGCACTGCTGGGGCAGACAGCTCTACATGGCAGGGTGGGGGTATTTGACCTACCTTTTCCCTGCCAACCCCTCCAGCTATTTCCTGCAGGAGCTACAACGATGCTTGAAGGATCCTGATTGGCTGGCTCAGCTATTCATCAAACATGTGAGACTTGAGGGGGTGGGGCCCAGGAGGGAAGGGTTTGGGCCTGGGTGAGGGCTCTCTGGAGATGTGCTCTTTCTCCTCACTCACCTTGCTCTTTCTTAAACTTCACCCCTGTAGGAGCGCCGGCTGCATATGTATGTGGTGTACTGTCAGAATAAGCCCAAGTCGGAGCACGTGGTGTCAGAATTTGGGGACAGCTACTTCGAGGTCAGTGACTGAGGTACCTTGGGGGAAGGGTGACAGAATCCGCATGAGCAGGCTTTCCAGGCTGCATAACCACCCTGTCCCTGTCCCCAGGAGCTCCGGCAGCAGCTGGGCCACCGCCTACAGCTCAATGACCTCCTCATCAAACCAGTGCAGAGGATCATGAAATATCAGCTGCTGCTCAAGGTCAGGCCCCCTGCTCCCTGGGGGCACAGCTGGTTGGGACAGCTCTTTCCTCCTTCATCTCCCCAGGGTTCCTAAGGCTCCCCCCAGACCTCCCGGGGGTCCTCAGGGGAGGATGTGAAAGCTTCTAAGGATGTCCTCGTGACCTCCCTGAGCATTTCTTTTCTATGTCTTAGGATTTTCTCAAGTACTATAGTAGAGCTGGGATGGATACTGAGGAGCTAGAGGTGAGGACTCCCAGATCTTCCAGGATACACCATGCACACCTTGTCTTCTTAGTCTCCCGGGCCCCCTAGCTCCTTGGGTGGTGTAGAGCTGTCTAGTTTTTAGGGGGAGGCTGGTTGGAGGTTGAAACACAGCCTGAAGAGTCTTCTTTCCCAATAATGACAATGCTCCTCTCTTCGTCTGGGTCCCAGCGAGCTGTGGAGGTCATGTGCTTTGTGCCCAAGCGCTGCAATGACATGATGACCCTGGGGAGACTGCGGGGGTTTGAGGTATGGAAATGGAACAGGAAACCGGAGGCCCAATGCTCTTCTGCCCCAGTCTGAGCACTCGGCAGGTCCTTATGGGGAATTGTCCTCTCCTGGGGCTGACCCCATGATTGGTGGGGAGTGTCAGGGGAAGGAGGGAGGAGCAGAGAGTTGCCCCTTTTCTCTTGTTTTTTCCTGAAGGCCACTATTCTTTGGTTCTAGGGTAAACTGACTGCTCAGGGGAAGCTCTTGAGCCAGGACACATTCTGGGTTACGGAGCCCGAGGCTGGGGGGCTCCTCTCTTCCCGGGGTCGAGAGAGGCGTGTCTTCCTCTTTGAGCAAATCGTCATCTTCAGCGAGGCCCTGGGGGGAGGAGTGCGAGGTGGAACGCAGCCTGGATATGTGTACAAGAGCAGCATCAAGGTGGGGAGCCCTCTGACTGGGTGGGGGCGAGGCCTTTGCAGGGATGTCTGGCTCTTGGATTTGCAAGATGGGGCAGGAACCAGAGAGGGCCTGAAGAATTTGAGGGCTGTCTCCTATTTGCCAATCCAGGTGAGCTGCTTGGGACTGGAGGGGAACCTCCAAGGTGACCCTTGCCGCTTTGCCCTGACCTCCAGAGGGCCAGAGGGTGGGATCCAGCGCTATATCCTGCAGACTACAGACCCTGCAGTCAGTCAGGCCTGGATCAAGCAAGTGGCTCAGATCCTGGAAAGCCAACGGGACTTTCTCAATGGTGAAGCTCCCACCCTCCCTCCCCCACATGCTCCCTCAGCCCCTTGACCTCCTGAATCCCTCACTGCCCAATCTCCAATCCCTGCCCTCTGACCCGGGCTTCTCTCTGTCTCTCATCCCCATTTTTCCACTACTAGCTCAAGATTTGGTAACTCAGAATCCCCTAAAACCCCAAGCAATTTACATTGACTGCCTGTCCTTGGGATGGAGGGCAAAGAGGGAGGATGACCTGAGCAGAGCCCCTAGGGAAAGGATCTGTCTCTGCTGTAACCCTCCTTCTGTTCCTGTCTTTGCCCCAGCATTGCAGTCACCCATTGAGTACCAGAGACGGGAGAGCCAGACCAACAGCCTGGGGCGGCCAGGAGGGCCTGGGGTGGGGAGCCCTGGGAGAATTCGGCCTGGAGACCGGGCCCAGGTCAGCACACACGCCCCCATCAATGGTTCTCTCCCCTCCCTGCTGCTGTTGCCCAAACCGGAGATGGCCAGAGCTGCCCTGCCCCTGGACACACAGGTATGAGGAATGGAGTTCCCTGGTTGTAGGGGCAGAACGGGGAGGGCCTCTCTGGTTCAGGGATCCCCAAATCCCCCTCCCTCATATCGTCCCTTTCTTCCTTTTGTCTGCCCCCTCCTACTTCCCATCTCTTACCTTTTGCTCTTCCAGTTTAACCTTGGGGGAAGTTGATGTCTCAGATAACCTAAGATGTCTGGCAAGAGGAGGTGGCTTGGCTAGGAGCTTACACTGAAAAGACAGGAGTGAGAGTGGATTCTTGAACTTTTTTGATCCTCTGACTTGAGTCTTTTTTCAGGCCCTCAGTGACATCTCCCAGGCTCCTCATGACTCCCCTCCAGTTCTACCAATTCCAAACACCCCTCCCCGCCAAGCCAGACTTGCCAAGCTGGATGAAGATGAGCTGTAACTGGTGAAGGCCACGGGGGTGGTGCTGACTCAGCCACTCTATTCCCCAAGGAACTTCAGGGCAATCCTTCTGGTACCGCCCAGGAAATCCTCCTCTTGGTGTGCCTAGAAGGCAGGCAAGGCTGAGATGGGTGTCAACTTGGAGGAGGGTACCTAGACTCAAAAGGACTTCTTTCTGCCCAAGGAACACAGATTCCTTTCGCTCCCACCCCTATGCATGCATCACAGGTCCCCCAAAAGGAGGATATGTGGGTGGGTGGGAGGGCTGGGGCAAGGGCCAGATACAAATGATTAGTTTGGTTTTGATTTTGTTTTTTCTGTTTTCTGAGAATAAAGGTTTTGTTATATCACTAAGGCCGCTGTCTTGGCAGAGGGAAGGGGTCAGTGGGGTGAAGTGGCATGGAAGGGATCAGCTGACCTCTCAAATCAGTCATTTGAGCCGGAGTCTAGTGAAAGGAGGAGAACACAGGGTGAAAGATGGAAGATGTCGTTCTCTTGTCCCTCACCTGCAGTTGCAGCATCTCTCAGTCCAGACCTGGAGCTAGGGGCCACTGGAACGTAGATCTTTGATGTGTCCTCCCCTTTATCCAGCCCTTCTTTCCCTCCCATCTGGCCTCTGTTCTAGACGCCCGTGGAAAGCCCAGTGTAGTGTGACTCCCCCATTCCCAACACCCAGATTCTAAAGCACCAAATGCCCAATGTACCTTTCCTTCTGAGGCCTCCATGTTCAGCTGAGGAGAAGGGGAATGTGGAGAGGATGCTGGGGGCTGTGTCCCCTTCTGGCTCTGGGTCTCTTTATTTTTGCTGTCTGGGAGGTCATAAGGCGTATCCACCCTGAGGAAGGGAGTCTTCTTTAAGCCACAGACCCAAGAGTAGAGAGCCAAAGGGGTCTTCACCCCTCCCGACTTCTGGGACAGGGAGAGCCAAACATGCGGAGATCCATGTCCAGACGCCCTGTCCTGGGTCCTTGGGCATCAGTATGTCCACTGTGTCCACTCGTCCCCTGGGCCCGGTCACGTGTACTTGAGCTTCCTCAGCAGACAATAGACTGCTGGGGTGGGAGGGTGAGGAGGAGCGGGAGCCTCCCTGAGGGCCTGAGGTCCCTCTGGCCGACAATGGGGGGAGGGACCACTAAGGGGGGGACAGGACGTACAGCCCAGATAAGACTTCTGGGGAACAATAGGAGGAATTGAAGAGGGGAGACCCACCCTTACTGTACCCCACCCCCAAGGCTTTGGGGTCAGGGACTGGGGACCAGAGGGTGATGGGGCGGGGTGCTGAGGATTCTTGTGAATGGAGGAGGGGATAGGGCAAATAGCAGGATTCAGGAGCTCAAACCTTTGTGTCTCTTTAGGGACCACAGGGGTACGTGAGGTGGGTGGGTGACCCTGTTGTGCTTAATTTAACGACACCTACTTCGTGGATAGCACTTGAATGTAATAAATGGTACTTCAGCTTTTTTGGCTTCTAAGAAATAAAGTTAAAATTTCCTCTGTATTTTCCCGGAGGCCCTGAACTGAGAATTTAGGCCCAGCCGCCCCCTGCAGAGGTGTGGGGTGGTGGTTCTCTGTCCTTGTGCAATATATGTAGCTGCTTCCCATCTCAGAAGTTTGTGAAACTGCTGAGGCCAATGGAGCCCTTACACTTTCTTGGGGGCAAGCTGTGCCCCATGAGGATTTGGGTCTGGGGGCAGAAGGAGGGTGTTCAGAACCACGCTGAACTTTCTTGCTGGGGAATGCGGCGGCTCTGGGAATGACCAGGAACCCTAGAGGAGCCAGCTCCTGTCTCCAGCCAAAGTGCAGATGCGGAAAGGAACCAGGAGTGAAGAGGCTTAGGAGTGGTAAACAGTGGGTGCTGGGTGTTGAGGGTGTGCTTGTCTTTTGGCCTATCTCTCTGGTCCCTACACCTTTCCACAGCCACCTGGCATAGCAGACTCCAGAGAGAGGGATCCAGCGAGGATGTCTGAGGAAATGCCTAACTTAGAGATGCCCCCTGGGCCACCCCGTGGCAAAGCAGTTAGGTTTGCACATTTTCCTTCTCAGCAGCCTGGGTTCACTGGCCCGGATCCCGGGTGCGGACATGGCACCGCTTGGCAAAAGCTATGCTGTGGTAGGCGTCCCATGTATAATGTAGAGGAGGATGGGCATGGATGTTAGCTCAGGGCCAGTCTTCCTCAGCAAAAAGAGGAGGATTGGCAGTAGTTAGCTCAGGGCTAATCTTCCTCAAAAAAAAAAAAAAAAAAAGAGAGATGCCCCCTCTCCAAGCTGCTGCTTTTTCCTGACCATAGAGGGTCCCCAAGAGAGGGCGCCCTCCAGGGCCCCATTGGTCCCTGATTCTTAGAGGCGGGACTCAGGGCCAGCAGGCAGAGGGTATTTAAGACTGGGAGGAAACCGGGAGGAATTGGAGGTGACCCAGGGCAAAATGAGTGGGCTACTGGGCGCCAGGACCTGCCCAGGCCCGGGAGAAGCCTCTGACCTCAAGTCTCCCCGGGGCGCCAGGTTCAGGGAACCTCTCACCGAGGCCCGGTTCCAGCAGCTCTTCGGAGACGCGGAGCAGGAGCCGGAGCTCCTGGCGGAGTCCCGCTTGTCCCTGCTGTGCCGGCTGTGGAGACGGCGGGCCCGCGCCTGTTCCGGACCGGGGGCGTGGCGCCTGCTGCTGGCGCGGCTGCCCCCGCTGCGCTGGCTGCCCCACTACCGCTGGCGGGCCTGGCTGCTCGGGGATGCAGTGGCCGGAGTGACCGTGGGCATCGTGCACGTGCCCCAGGGTGAGCGGCCCCAACACCAGCTTGTCCGGGGCCCAAGCTCTAACGGGCTTGCAGAGGAGGGCGCAGAGGGCTGGGAACCGGGAGCAAAAGGGTGGGTTAGCGTCGCTGACGGTTCCGAGACAGGGACGTGAGAACAAGTTCTGGGGAAGGACTCTGGAGCTCCATCAGATCCCCACCCCCAGCTCCTCTCCTCTGAGCAATCCTGCGAGAAGTCTCGCACACGTTCCGCCTCAGGGAACTGGAGAGAAGAACTACGCCTGCCCCCCCAGGACTCGGCCGACACGGATCTGTGACCCTGGCTGCCCCACGACCTCCCACTGAGGCCCGTTAACCCCTACGGTCCCTCATGTGTGGTGATTGAGCGTCCTGGTGTCAGCCTCTAAGAGCGTGGAACAGGGGCGCATTCTGGAGGACCAGGAACCCTCCCCCACCCCCATACCGAAGAGCTTTCCTTCCACTTCTCCCCCAGGCATGGCGTTTGCCCTCCTAACTTCCGTGCCCCCAGTGTTCGGGCTGTACACTTCGTTCTTTCCCGTCCTCATCTACACTTTGCTGGGTACTGGGAGACACCTGTCCACAGGTGAGTGACCAGTGACTCCTCTCCTCTATGGCCTGAAGATGGACAGGGGTTTGAGGCTTCGGTCCTTGTAAGCTCCCTGCTCTTATTCGCGTCTTCACCCCCCCATCCCCCACCATCCCTTCCTCCCCTGCCGCTACCCTGCTCCGATCCACTGACTTCGGCCATGCTTGCTGGGGGTGCTGAGTGGGTGCAAAGCAGCGGGAGTTTACTCGGACTTTTTCTCCTCGTGAAATTTGGTTAAAACGGACAACTCTAGGACTTGGAAGGGGGAGAAGAGACGCACGGTCACCCAAAGGAGCACGCAGTTGGCGGGGCGTCTGCAGGAGGAGGCAGCGATGCAGTTTGGGGCAGTTTTGGCGGCTGGTGCGCCCTCCTTTTCTCCCTCACCACCGGTTCCTGGCTGCTGCGCCAGCTCTTGGCCCCACGGCCCCCACCGGAGCAGCAGCCTCTAGGACAGAGGGGTCAGACAGCAGCATCCCGGCCGAGAGCGCGGAGCCTGGGCTGTCGCTGTGCCCCAGGCGGCACAGCTGGTGATGTCTGCGTTTGTGCCCCGGTCCTAGGAACTTTCGCCGTGCTCAGCCTCATGACGGGCTCGGCTGTGGAGCGGCTGGTCCCCGAGCCCCTTGGGGGGAACCTGAGCGGAATCGAGAGGGAACAGTTGGACGCTCAGCGGGTTGGGGCGGCTGCGGCCATGGCCTTCGGGAGCGGGGCGCTGATGGTGAGGGAGGACCCTGGGGGAGGCCCCTGGGGGAATGCACGCTAGGGGCTCTAGAAAATTGGGCCAGGGGAGAGGGAGGGACAAGTCTCCCATTCGGTCTAGGCGGGAGAGGTGCGCGGAGACGCTGGCGCACGGCGCTCTGGCTGCTCCGCGCCTCCTCCTGTAGTGATTGGGCGTCTTCTCTCCTGCAGCTGGGGATGTTCGCGCTGCAGCTCGGCGTCCTGTCCACCTTTCTGTCCGAGCCTGTGGTCAAAGCGCTGACCAGCGGGGCCGCGCTGCACGTGCTCGTGTCCCAACTGCCGAGCCTTTTGGGCTTACCCCTCCCGCGCCAGATCGGCTGCTTCGCTCTTTTCAAGGTGCGGGTGGGAGAACAGCGGAGACGAGGCTTCTAGAGGTCCCGGGAAGAGGGAACCCCGAAAAGGAAGGAAGGCAGGACGGCGAGTGGAGGGATAGTGTGTGCCGGGGGCAGAGGAAAGGAGGTTAGAACCACGTGGCTGAATGAGGGTCGCTGCGGAGGTGGAAGCCCTGACGGGAGCCAGGAGCTGGGAGGCCTGTTCTTGTCTGGTGGGTCCGCGCTGGGGGTAGTCGACCCCGGCCCGGGCCCTCTGCTCACCGCCCCTGCCCGCAGACGCTGGCCGCCGTGCTGACCGCGCTGCCCCGGAGCAATCCGGCCGAACTGACCATCTCGGCACTCAGCCTGGCGCTGCTCGTGCCGGTCAAGGAACTGAACGTGAGGTTCCGAGACAGGCTCCCCACCCCGATCCCAGGGGAAATCGTCATGGTGAGGATGGCTCCTGGGTCCAGCCCCCTGCCCCGCACAGACCCTGCCCATCCTCTGGGAACTGGCCGCTGCCGCCCCCTTGTGGAATGCGGAGAGGTCACGGAGGGAAGTCCTGCTTACGCGTGTGCTTTTCCAGGCCTCTTCCCAGAACTCTTTGACCCTCCGGAATCCCCCACCCACACATTCCCACTTCTGTCGCGGAGGCCCCCTCTAGACCAGTTCGAAGGCCCTCTTCCTCCTTACAGCGCCCCCTTGCGGTGTCGCTCGCCCCAGCACCTCCACTCTCTCCTCACCCTGTCCTTCACCGTAATTCTTGATCTCCCTTCCCACGCCCGCCTACATTTCTCTCTCTCCTCCTGTCTTCCTCCTTCCAATCTCCTCCTTCTTCTCCCATGTCCTAATTTGCTCTCTTTCCCAGGTGCTTCTGGCCTCCGTGCTCTGCTTCACTTCTTCTCTGGACACAAGATACAACGTGCAGATAGTGGGGCTGCTGCCTGGAGGGTAAGAGAGCAGGAAAAGACACCAGCTTTCTCTTCCCACATCTCTCCCACCCAACCACTCTTCTTGTCCTTCCCACCCTATTTTCGCTGCCTTCCCTGTAGCCTTCCCTCACCCTGACCCCTCTCTCTCCAGATTTCCCCGACCTCTCCTGCCCAACCTGGCTGAGCTGCCCAGGATTGTGGCCGACTCGCTGCCTGTCGCACTGGTTACTTTTGCTGTGTCTGCCTCCCTGGCCTCCATCTATGCAGACAAGTATAGCTACACTATTGACTCCAACCAGGTAAGACTCCGACTGAGGGCCCCAACCTCATTCCGGAGATGACCCCCTAACATGACCCCCAACACACACACCTTTGTCTCTCTCCTTTTCACTCACTGCCTTCCCCCAGGAGCTCCTGGCGCATGGTGTCTCCAACCTCATCTCCTCCCTCTTCTCTTGCTTTCCCAACTCAGCCACATTGGCTACAACCAGCCTCCTAGTGGATGCTGGTGGGAACACACAGGTAAGAGTGTGTCCTTGGGTGAGGAGAAAGTGGGGGGGGGGGGGGGTGGGGGGGTGGGAGGGGGACATCCAGGTCCGGTGGTCGTGGTGGAGAAACAGGCGGAAGATTGGTAGATACCCAGGTAGCAGCTATATAGAGGAGGATGGGACCCTGTGAGGCGGGTGAATGGGGATTATTTAGGTAGGAGAGATGGAAGATAACAAAGCCCCCTTAAGACTTGTATACTCTAAGCACTGAAAACGTTCATGATGCCCCATAAGTAGTTCAAGATAAAAACAATACCAAATTGTAAAATAAGTTTAAGAGACAATATTCTGATTTTTTCCCCTATGAGGACATTTTCTTTTAAAAAGAAATATCATATATCAAAGTCTCCCCCTAATATTTTTGGTTTCCTTTACTTTGCCGGTGCCCTAAGCATGTGGCTAGCCGGCTTTTAGGGTAATCCAACAGTGTTTTTAAGATGGAGGTGGGCCAGGAGAACAGGGAAGTTGAACTACTTCCAGGGGGAGACTGGCGACCCATAGGCCTTCAGTTGGGGGAGGGGAGAGGAAGGGGTGAGCGGCAGAATATCAAGAAGGGGGTGAGGAGTGAGGAGTGTCTGTGTGGGAGGGGATTTGGGAGGAGGGAGACTTGTTAGGAGCAGGCAGGGAGACCAGCTCTCACGCGGGTGGGGGAGCTCCTCCGCCTTCGCTCCACCCCTCCCACCCTCCAGCTGGCCGGCCTCTTCTCCTGCGCAGTCGTCCTGTCAGTGCTGCTGTGGCTCGGGCCCTTCTTCTACTATCTACCCAAGGTGAGGGAGAGAGCAGGTGTGGGGGTGGCCGGGAGGCGTGGCCATATGCCAGGATATGGGCGGTCAGCTCTCCTCCTCTGCCCCAAGGCTGTCCTGGCCTGCATCAACATCTCCAGCATGCGCCAGATGTTCTTCCAGATGCAGGAGCTTCCACAACTATGGCGCATCAGCCGCGTGGACTTTGTGAGAAATGGCATTCCCCCCAGATTGCCCCCTCCTATTTCCCAGCATCCCCAGCCTCTGCCCCGGATCAAAGCTAATTGTCATGGTCCTAAATTCTGCAACCCACCACCAATATGCATACCCCCTAATCCCTTTACTCAGAGACAAGGAGAAGGGTGGGGTTTGCACCCCTTCAGACTTGAATATTTGTAACTCTTCAGCAGGTGCAATGTCTGTGTATCCCCTGTTGGGCAATCCTGTCCTTTCCTTCTGTCACTCTGCCTTCTCCTGGGCCACACTGCTCCATCACTTGCCCTGCAGTGACTGCCCCTGGACCCCTTGCCCTGGCACTGATGGCCTGGCCTTTCTTCTGGGAATTTCACTCCCATCCATGTCCTGCAGGCTGTGTGGATGGTCACATGGGTGGCTGTAGTGACCCTGAGTGTGGACCTGGGCCTGGCCGTAGGTGTGGTCTTCTCCATGATGACCGTGGTCTGCCGCACCCAGAGGTGGGAGAAGAGACGAGGGAAGTCGAGATGCGGGGAGGCGAGACAATGGAGTGCTTGGGGTGACTTTCCAGCCAGGCCAGGCTGGGAATCTGACCCCTGCTTCCTGCCCAGGGTGCAGTGCCTTGCACTTGGACTGGCTGAAGGGACGGAGCTCTACAGGCCACTCAGAGAGCGCCACAAGGTGGGTTAGCTTCAACCAAAGATGGAAGGGAAGATGAGACCCAGATGTTTCTCTGACCCTCTGACCCCTCAGCTCCTCCAGGTCCCGGGGCTCTGCATCCTGAGCTATCCAACACCACTTTACTTCGGGACCCGTGGGCAGTTTCGGCGCACCCTGGAAAGGCATCTGGGGCTTAGAGAAGGAGGCAAGGTGAGGGACTTGGTCAAAAGGGAGTGTGGCTTCTCTGGGAGTGGGAGGTAAGTGGGTGTTCTGAGGGAGAGCACTGTGCCCAAGGGTGCACGTTCACACTTGTGTCTCAGAGGTGGTGACTGCCCTTCTCTATTCACAGGAGACTCCAAAGACAGATGGCCCACCTGATGCAGGTGAGATGGGATGACAAGGAGGGAGATTTGGGCATGACCCATGGAAGCATCTGGGCACTCCTGCCTTCTCCCATCCTAGTTGCTGAGCCTATCAGAGTGGTGGTCCTAGACTGCAGTGGTATCACCTTTGCAGATGCTGCTGGGGCCAGAGAAGTGGTCCAGGTGAGAGAGAGGGTATGTTGAGGAGAAAGTCCCCTTATTATCCCATGCATACCCTCTAATGTAAGATTTAACTCCTCCCACCTCCGCAGCTTTCCAGACGATGCCGAGACGCTGGGATCCATCTTCTCCTGGCTCAGTGTAATGGTAAGAGGTGTGGAGGATGGAGGGACCTGGAGACTGAGGAATGACTGGACATTTGGGGGAGGGAAGAGGACACAGTGTGGACTTAGGACCTGAGAGTCTGACCCCCTCTCCACACAGCCTCGGTGCTGGGGACTCTGACCCAGGCAGGACTCCTGGACAGAGTGACCCCAGAACAGCTGTTTGTGAGTGTCCAGGATGCAGCTGCTCATGCCCTGGAGAGACTGGTGAGGGGGCAGTAGCAACAAGAGTGGAAGCCGGGAGGTGCTGGGCTATAGCAAGTGAGGCGTGAGCCAGTGGCTGAAGATCCAGGCAGAGGGGTTTGGGAAGGGGGCTAAGGAGGAAGGTGAAGGAGAAAGGGGTGGGCATGAAATGATTAGTCCATTTAAGACGAAGCTACGAGACTGGCCCCAGCTGTGGGTGAAGATCAGAAGAAACTAGGGTCCCCAGAGGGGTAATGTGCCCCTCAGAAGACTGCCAAATCTTGGGTGAGGGAGTTGGGCACCTACTCTACTCCTGACATGTCCCCTCCCTTTTCCAGGAGTCTGCTGGTCCAAAGTCTTGCACAGTGTGGGTCTGACCTGGTCACTTGGAGTGTAGAGGGCCCCAACAATATGCGTGTGAGGAGGGCGTGGCCCCTGGGGCCCTTTACTTAATGTAACTAATAAAATGAAGCTAAGAGCCTCTGGGATTCATGAAGTGAGTCTGCGCGGCTGTGCATGGACCCCTGGTGCGCCTTCCTCTATGCCCACAGCATTGCAGAGACACAACCAAAAATGGTTTTCACCCGTGTGTTCACAGCGCCCAGCCCAGCTCCGGAGTCACCAGTTCTCTCCATAGGGGTGGAGCTGGAGCATGTACAACACAGTCTTGGGGCCAGAGATGGGAGGCTGGGGGCACAGCCCTGGGAATACATGTTGGGGCTTTCCCCACCCCCTCAGTCCTAAGGAGATGAGAGGAGAGTGTTTCCATTTTAGGTTCTTAGAGTCCCCAAGGGCTCTTTGGCGCTTGGAAAGCACCTCCCCCCCAACTTCCTGCCCCTTTAGAAGGGGGTGGGAGGAGGACTTGGCACTGGCTGTGGGATGAGTTATGGCTCCATCACACCCCTGGGCACTCACAGAAAGGAGTGTCACCAGGACAAGCCCCTATTTGGGATCAAGTTCTGAAGGAGACTGGGGACGGTCAGTGGAGTGGTCACTGGGTGGTGGGGTTTGCCAGAATTTCCTGGCAGGGACAAGGAGGCAGGCCCAGCCTGACAATTGGAAGGCCCTGAGTGGCCGTCACTCTGTGGTCATGCACTGCAGCCGATGTTTGAAGAAGAGCAGGCGGTGTTTGGCCACCTGACTTTCGTCCAGTGATCCTGGGTAACGGTACCGGGCATAAGTCTCTGACCCAGAATCCCTTGACGTCCAAGGCAGCTTCAATTTCGATGCATGATCCACAACGACGTCTGAGCAGGAGCCCACTCGAAGGGAACCAAGCCCATCCAGGAAGAATTCTGGGGGTGGAGGAAAGGGGTACACAATGAAGGGTCTTGAGGGTGCAGAAGGCCAACCCCTAAGGGAGAACTGAGATTGGGGTATTGAGGGTGTGCGTGCAAAGAAGTCCATTTCTAAGGACCGTGGGCATATAAACGAACTCTTTACTCTTGTAACTATGGAGTCAACATACTTACCTTGTGCTTTGAAAACGGACCCCCCCCCCCCCCCACACACACACCCAGAAGTTCAATAAATGCTGAATGGGCTGCTCCGAGTGTGGTCTGGACAGAGGAAGCGGCTGGGACCAGGGTAGAGGTGGCGGTGTCAGTGGTGGGAAAGTTCAAGGCGGACCCAGCGGCTGTGCTGGGTGTGGAGGTTTCAGGGGAGTGCGGGCCGGAGGGTGGGAACTGTTCTAGGTGCCCCAGGTGGCAGCCTTGGCTGCGGGGGTGGGGGGTGGGGGGGTTGGGCGGGGGCGGGGAGTCCTGTGTGCCCTTGGCGCCTCGCTACCCCAGAGTCGCGCGGCGCCCCGGGGGTGGGCCCCTGCCAGGCCGGCCGGGAGGGGGCGCCACTCACCGAGGTGCGCCACGCGGCTGAGGCGCGGGTCGAAGCCGACCTCGCGCACCTTGTCCGTGCGCGCCAGGAAGAAGTTGACCACGCCATCGGTGACCACGCAGCCTGGGAAGCCGACGAGCTCGTGGTGGAAGCCGCGCCGTTGCCGGAGGCAGTTCCCGCGGCCTGGCGCGCCCGGCTCCACGCTCAGCAGCTGCCGGTAGGTGGTGGCGAAGCCCGAGATCTCGCGCACCGCGCCCCCAACCTGCGGGGAGTGGAGGATGGCGCCAGGCGGGGCGGGGCGGGGACGGGGCGGGGTGGGGGGCTCTGCTTCCGCCCGCCCCCCGCCCTCCGCCCCCCCCCCCCCCAGTCCCCAGCGGTTCCCCTGCTCCGACCCTTCCGCTCCACCCCTGCAGGCCCCAGGTGGTCCCCCAGGCTCCGCTTCGTCGTCCTCTCTCGGTCCCAGGGCCGGCCGCTCTCGGCTGGTCTCCCTGCAGCGGCCTGAACCTGCTAGAGGCCACCCTCCAGCCCTCCGCCCGCTGCCCCTGCCCTACCAGGTCCAGCGGCGTCCGCTCCAGCACGTCCACGAGCCTCTCCACCCGCGTCCGCGCCGTGAAGACGAAGTCGTCGTCCACCCACAGCACATACTTGGTGGTTACTTGAGACACGGCCAGGTTCCGCCCTGCGAACCAGCCCTAGGGGAAAGGTATGTACGGTAAGGCTGTAGAGATAGGACATAACCCTCTGCCACCTTTCCTCCTCTCTCTTGACCTCTCTTAACAGCCTGTGCCCCTCTCTCCAAACTTTTGAGTGCTTACGAAGTCCGGGAGCTAGGTAAAAAGTGCAGTTTCCCACTGCCAGAGGTTCTGAGCCACTGTTCTGGGGCAGGCCAGGGTCTTGGGACGCAGTTAATTCATGTATGCACGCCTTCCTTCATCAGCTATTTATTGAGCAACCACTAGGTGCTAAGCGTCATTCTGAGGATGCATGGCTAATAAGACAGGCATGATTCCTGCTCCCACGGAGCTCACACTCCAGGAACCCTCCTGCTTAACAGGCAGCCCAGTGACTCTGGGGCAGGTGGTCCTGGAATCGCGGCTCCGGAGACTGCAGTCGAGGGGCGCCCCCTCCCGGTGCCCTCTGGTGCGCCGTTCAGCCTTACTGGCTGCACACCTTGCCAAAAGGCATGAGATAGTGCTCGATGTGGGGGCCGCTAACGCTCTCCGGCTTGTCGCTATCGTCGGCGATGACCACGGTGACCGTCGGGTAGAAGCGGCGGATGCTGGCGATGAGTGCCCGTAGCCGATTGTAACGAAGGAAGGTCTTCGTGGCAATGGTGACGAGAGCGCTGATGTTGTACTGGCCTGGGAGCCAGGGGCAGGGTTAGGTGAGACAAGGAGAGTGGGGAGTGAGGAGCAGGAAGACATCCTCCGGGGCCACCCTCTCCCAACTTGCTCCCCATCAGGGCTAGATCTATGTCCCTGTGCTCACCAGCGTCACCTCCCTGGGGTAGAGACCCAGGTGGGTACAGCCGAGGGTTGGGGGGGTGTCTTATGTGGATGGTGAAGGCAGCCTCATGTCCCTCGGTGGAGAACCGGACTGGGAAGAAAGGACATGAGGTGTGGCCCATAAGGCTGGAACAACATTCTCTTTTCAGTAACTCATTAAGTGCCTACTCTGTGTACCATCTTTCTAGGCCCTGGGGACAGGAATGTAAGGTTCTTACCCTTATGGAACCTACATTCTAATGGGTGGGAGAAAGACAATGAAATATTTAATTAAAAGCTAATGTTTATTGAGCATTAACTATGTGCCAGGCACTTTTTAAATTACCTTTAATACATGAGCTCATTTAATCCTCACAATGGCCCTATTAAGTGGATTCCTACTACAGAAAAAGAAGGCACAGAGAGGTTAAGTAACTTGTCCACATTCACACAACTATTATGCAACAAAGCCAAGATAGGAACTTAGTCAGTCTGGTAACAGGCTAAGTAAATAAGAAAACTCAGATACTGATAACTATTGAGTAAGACAAGTAACGTGATAGTGAAGAGGAGACATTTGGGCTAAGATCCAAATGACAAGAAGGAGCCAGCCATGCAAAAATCTGGGAGAGGAGCATTCCAGGCAGAGGAAACAGCATGTGCCAAGGCCCTGAGCAGGCGCGGGTTGGGTGCAGCACGCCTTGGAGAGAAGCAGGAGGGCTGTGTTAGCCCCTTTTGCTGGAGGAAAATGGGAGCTTTGGAGATAAAGCCCTTTGCCCTCTAATAAGTGGTGGGCTGAGAATAGAGCTTGAGTCTTCTGGCTTCTGGGGCAGGTCACTTCCTGCAGCCCCCATGGTTGGCCTGAAGAGGGGACACACCCAAGGCTCGGGTTTCCCTCTGGCGTGCTCCAGCCCAGATGAACAAAGGCCCCTTCTCTCCCTCCCTGGCCCTGCTGGCCTAGCTGAAATGCCCATTGTGTGGCTGGGCAGCTCTGGTCATTGCCCAAATGTCTCCCACACCCTCTGCCATTTGCCTGCGCCAGCCCTTCTGGGTTCTCTCTGTTCACCCAGCCTACCCCTACCTCCACCCAGGCCTCGAACCTGTGTCTGCTGTGTTTGCCTGGTAGCTTCGGCTGCTATAAGTGACCAGTTGCAGCTGCCGATTGAGTTGGTCCAGCCCTGGGCTGGCGAGGGTGAGATCTGGCCGCCCCTCTCCAGTGAGAGTCACTCCTGTCACTTCCCCTGCCACATCCCAGGTGCCCAAGGAGGCAGTCAGGTTCACCTGGGAGAGGGGAGTGGAGAGTGCAGGGTCAGGCCCCAGCCCCATTTCCTGTCTCCCTAGTTCCTCCATCCCTCCTTTGGCAGCCCTGTTTCCCTCCCAGCATCCTTGATGCCCACCCGGCCTCCCGCCCTCCTGTTTCTTCTCACCTGGTATACCTCCTGACCAGAAGCGGCCTGCAGGCTCAGCCCTGGGAGGAAGAGGGGGGGACCAGACAGCTCTGAATTCCTCCTCACTTTCTCTTCCCTCTTTCACCAAACAAATCACAGAACTTCTCACCCATCCCTCTTGTTGAGGCCACAGCAGAGTGCATTGTGGGACATAGCCTGGAGGAACTGATTTTTTTTTTTTTTACTCCTTCCCATCAAAGCCACTTGTGTGCCTTGCCCTACCTATCCACCTAACCTTTGGTCAGTCAGCAGAGAATAGATTCTCCTCCCCAAACCTCTCCAGTTACAGTCTTCTGCGATTCCTCAAGACCTTAGAGTCCCTTCTGTCCCCACCTCCCATCTCAAGAGCCCCCTTCTGATCTCAAGTGTCTCCCCCACCCATTCCAATCTTCCCTCATTCTTCTCCATCCATCCTCAGGCTCTGCCACCCCCACGGTGGCTTAGGTCACCCTAGGACCATTCTCCTCACCTGGCACCAAGATGCTCCTGAGGGGCTGGACCTCCACACCCTGCAGGGGGTATTGTAGGGGGGAGTTGGCAGGGGCTATGAGCAGTTGGTCAGCAGCGGACTGGCTCCTGGCAGTGGAGTTGGGGGGCACAGAGGAGGAGTCAGAGGGTGAGGGGCTCTCCCTCCTGCCACACCCACCCTCCAGGCCTCCCACTGCTCGCCCTCTGCAGAGTCATGTCCTCCTTTGTGCTGGTACCTTGAAAGGAACGCCTGGAACTCCTGCTCCCTCAAGGCAGAGGCAGCCCTCAGCTCCTCAGGGCCAAAGGCCTTGGTGAGGTCAATGGCTCGGACCTGCCTCTGGAAGGGGAGGTGAAGGCTCCCCACACTGGACTCACAACTACAGTTGTTCCCAGACAGCAGCCTGGAGCGGTGAGGAAGGTCATCAGAACCCAGCCGTACAACTCCATTCAGCCCACAAAACACTTACACAGCTCCCCCCACGTCTGCCCTTCCACCCTGCCCATCCATTATCTGTCCCCTTAAACACTGCTCTTCAAATAGTCCCCAGGAGGAGGGACCGCCGATGGTATGACCCATCCCCTAAATCTGGATTTTTACAGAGGTGTGGACTAGGGCCAGTTGCTAGGATTGCAGAGTTGCCTACCCACCATTCAGGACCCCACCTGGACTCTTTTCATGTGGACATCTCAGCACATCAGAAAATCTCTCAGGCCCTCCCGCGCCTGCACACCCTCCGCCTCTGCCCATCACCATGACCACGTTCAGGGAGAAGAGATTTCCCCCCCAGCCCAAGACTCAGTAGCCGCCTCCACGTCCCCTCCCCCTTCACCCCCCCCCCCCCCCCCCCAAATCTCCTTGTCAATTCAATTATATTGAATTCTCATCAGATCTTCAGTCATGGGCATTTTTAACTCTTCTGTCACTTACAGTTATTGTTTTACTCTGACGCTCTTACAAAAGTGAGACTCCTGGAAAGGAACTACCAGAAACTCTTTATCACTGACATCACTGCCAAATTACAAGGTGTTGAACCTTGGGTGCATATTTCACAACTGAAGAAGGTCCCACCTGACATTTGGTCCTGTACAAAATGCTGGAGAAATCTGGAGAAACTAGGAGGAGAAATAGCTGACGCCAAGGAAAGACTGCTTGCGACCCAAGACGCCAGATCGAGACCTCGACTAAACATGAAACCCTTCATTAGTCTCTTTTTTTTCCCTTACTCTAGAATTGAGCCTGGAAAGATAATGCCATCACCGTCTCTCA